AATTACGCTTTGTTCTGGTCATAAATCCTTTCAGATGTATGTTTAAACGATGTACCTGCGTACTGCACTGTCTATTTCAATACACGCTGCACTATGCATGTTTTGTCCCTGCATGCGAGGTCACCGAATGAAAAGCGAACAAGCGTTTTGCAATATATGTAGGTTAGGTATGCGACGGGCTTGGTCGGCCTACGCATACTTCTAAATAGTCCGCAGAGTCAAGATGTGAGTGGTAGGTTTATACATCAGCATACTGAAATAACATGCATGTGTACATTACACTACGATCACATATTCAAAAAGGCACACACTAAATTGTATCACTCGAAGGGGATAAAGCTCAAAAGCCTCCTCAAAAGAATACGTCTGCTATCTTGTGTTTTTATACTTCGATATGTTATATACTCTTTACCTATGTGTATGTCTACCTACCAAGTACACCATGCCACGCACCCTTTCTGAGTTTTTTTTTTGCATGGATATTAGTTGACTCTTGTTAGTTACTGCTTTCTTGAAGGCTGACGAATGTGAAAAACTTGTGTTCTACTTTAGACACCATGTACTGTTATCATCATTGGCCGCGTTTGCAGTGGTGGAGCAATCTTAAGGATCCCCATTAATGCGTTTCACCCAGCAACATTCTTCACACGCACACATTGCTGGTGCCGGCAGTTTACTTTGCAACTAAACAACACAGCGGTAGATAAAGACCCTATTTTCTTACTGGTGACCCACCGTTGAAGACCGAGGCAAGACATTTGTGGCGCATTTTATAAAATTATGTTGTTTGACATGGAAAAAATACACCGGTCACCATGAAGCAAACTCATTTCAAGAATACAATGCACGAATATCATAAATATCTACCAGCACTTTTTGCAGACTTAAGAGTTACTGACGAGCGACAGTTATTGGAAACAGACTGTCAAGCTGCCTGGATATGTCACAAAGGATGCTAACGGTGTTGGAATGCTGAACAACTGGCTTGTTTGCAATATATGCCGTCGGTGCGCTGACGCATGGCCCACATCGTTATGTAAGGGCTCACGCTGCGTGTTACATAAGCTGTTTAACAGATGGTTCGAGAACATATGTATGGGGTTAATCAATTCCCTAGGACATTGAACACTGCACATGCCTGCTCAGAACTAATCTCAATAGGTGTGTTTTCTTCCTGTCTAAATTATTCATGTTACTGCATTGCTATTTATACTCTCTGTTAGCGCGCTCAGGCCGGAAATGTGCACCACCTGGGTGCATTTCACAAGAAAATGAAAGGCCCTTTCCAAAGTGACCTTCCAAAACCAAATCACACAACCAGATGAACTAAAGGGTAAGCCAGATTCGAACTAAATTCCCATGTCAAGTAAGTCCTAAAACCGGTCCGGGCATTCCGGGCGAGTGACCGCCGTCCTCCCCAGCGTCCCGCGACCGTGAGCGCGCCGGAGTCAGCGCCGTGGGACACGCGGTGGGAAAACGCGCTCGCCGTCGGACAGCTTCCGATAACTGTGCCCGTCCCGGCGCCGATGGATGGGCCTGCGCACCGTGCCAGTCCCATAAAGCGCGCGCCTGGCCGGCCGGCGTGCGCCGCCGCTGGGAACCCGCTCCTCATCACCACCGGATGTCTTCTTGTTCCCATGTTGACGCCGGCGCAGAGCGGCGTTTAACGGGCTGGGGCCGGCCGAATCTCGCCGGATAAAAGCCGCTCGCCGCCGGCCGGAAGTGAAGGTCCTCAGGCCGTGGCAAGAGGAGGGCACTACCGTGCGACGGCATTTGCCACTGGTCGCTTAGATCAGCTATGCTGCTCTCTCTCTCTCTCTCTCTCTCTCTCTCTCTCTCTCTCTCTCTCTCTCTCTCTCTCTCTCTCTCTCTCTCTCTCTCTCTCTCTCTCTCTCTCTCTCTCTCTCTCTCTCTCTCTCTCTCTCTCTCTCTCTCTCTCTCTCTCTCTCTCTCTCTCTCTCTCTCTCTCTCTCTCTCTCTCTCTCTCTCTCTCTCTCTCTCTCTCTCTCTCTCTCTCTCTCTCTCTCTCTCTCTCTCTCTCTCTCTCTCTCTCTCTCTCTCTCTCTCTCTCTCTCTCTCTCTCTCTCTCTCTCTCTCTCTCTCTCTCTCTCTCTCTCTCTCTCTCTCTCTCTCTCTCTCTCTCTCTCTCTCTCTCTCTCTCTCTCTCTCTCTCTCTCTCTCTCTCATGTATTCTCCCCTTTCGTTCTCTCCCTAACTTTCTCTCTCTCCCTGTGTCTCTACGTCTCACTGATAAAAATTGGTCACACTCTCTACAGGCCATTCAATATTAGTATCTACTCTCATAAGTAAGATGGATGATGGGTCTGCGTTGACCAGGACCTGCCCCACATTGGACCGCCATCAGAAGAGCTATCTGTGTGAGGATGCTCCTACTCGTGTTTTGTACGCTATAGATATGAGAGCTCTTTACTGAGAAGGATTACGACTGGACTCCTCAGGGTCAAAACATTATTTGACACTTAAACAATCCTATAATGCAAGTGCACAATAAACCACATGACATGACCGCGTTTCAAGTGGTGATGCCGAAGTTGTGTGCTCACTCTGGATATGGAACCTGTAACTTGTGGCAAGTGTGCCCTGGTGCATGGCGCTTTTGAAGACTTTCCTGAAGTTTGCGCTTGCATGCGTTTCTTTTTTGCTGAGGACTTTCTTCTGTCGTTCATAATTTTTCGGAAACACCAAATTAGTTATAGTTGCCCATGCTTGACCGCATTTGTGTCCGCATGTTCAAGGCCTCACACCAATGGTGTCCTGGGAATGGTGCTCATCATCCGTTCATTCGCGCTTCCTGAATGATGTTCTTGTAATGGTATGCCGTCCATAACGCAAGGTTGTCATGACCACTGATGGTACGTCATAAACAAGACCCACTTAGAGCCTGCAAATGCTCGCCATCCTTTCCCACTGTAGTGTTCCTTACTTCCTCACCTTGAAAACCCTGATTACTTCCGTCGCAGAAAATCCGTAAGTGTGAGGCCTTCTGCCTACCAATAATATTATTCCGAGTGCGCGCTCAGTGTGCCGTTCCAAGCTGTCGCAGGTTAGAGCCCGCCGGCTGAACCCTGTACGTGACCCCCTACATAGCGGCTCTTTCGTGCAGCCCGTGTCCGAGGAGACCGCAATGCCCGCCACTCTACCCACGGTGGTCCCTGGTCCCTGCCGCCCTGCCTGCGGTGATCCCTGGCCTCTGCCGCCCTGCCTGCGGTGATCCCTGGCCTCTGCCGCCCTGCCCACCGTGATCCCTGGCCCCTGTCACCCTGCCCGCGATGATCCCTGGCCTCTGCCGCCCTGCCCGCGGCGGTCCCTGGTCCCTGCCACCATGCTCCCGGCGGTCCCTGGTCCTTGTCGCTCTGCCCGCGGCGGTCCCTGGCCTCTGCATCCCTGGCCGCGGTGATCCCTGCTCCCAGTCGCCCTAACTGCGGCGATCCCGGCCTCTGCCGCGGTTCAGAACTCAGCGTCAGTCTTCCGTTCGGCCGGCCGGCCGTCCTCGTCGATTAGCGGTAGGCAGCCTCCGCTCGCGCCCCTCGAGTGCATCGCACAACTGGACCTAATGGTTCTCCCATGAACTAACTGGACGGGCGCCGAGCATGTCACGCACCGAAAGCGTAGCACCATTTCAATGTCATTACAGCGGACGGGCGCCTCGTCTCTTGCGGCGGGGCTCATGGACTAACTTGCGCATGCGCATTCCATTACGGGAATTCCAACGCCACGCTGTTTGATGCAAAATGACATGGGAATGGTTGCCTCCTTTGTTTTCGGATCGTTTGGGGCCGAGATTGGCAGGATCCATCCGTCTTTATTGTACGCCATCTGGTTTGGCTGATAAGTATGTGTTTGAAAATATCGTTAACATTTGTGAAATAGTGAGTTAGGATGATGCCATGATGGTAGGATGGTGGCTTTGACCGGAGCACTCGGCTGAACTGTTGGTCTTCAGAACTCATGCGCTCCTGTCTATTTTCGGATCATCAAATCATCACGCATCTTTAGGAATGTGCCACGCGATGCGATCCCAATCATGCACTGGAAATGCTTTGTCTGATGGGTACCCGCGCATGGACAATGCAATCGCTTTGATCTGAATGAGTCCTGCTTGCGTAAGGATAGCCACTTTGACATCTTGTCTCAGCTGCCTCAATTTCGGTAGACTTTGCGCAGGTCATTGTCCTGTTCGCCACCGCCGTCCGAATCGCATCAGCATACCGCACGTTCGCCTGATCACAGACTTCAGCCCAGCAGCGCCCCATGCGATGTCTGAGAGGATTCCTCCGCCCGAGGGCCGCCATTATTCGACTCGTGCCAGCTGTCAGTCACCGTTGCCGCTGCCTCCTCCCAGGTGTGCTCCATCGGCTTTGTCCGCCAGCGTGGAGCCTTGAAGGGCAAACGACTCTCGCCCCCTGAAAACGATCCCCGGGAGTGGTGATCGTGAAGCGCGAAATAATTTGCATCCTCTTGTTTACGGCGGAGACCAGGTGGAGCGAAGCAGATGGGTCGTGGGTTCGCCGGGCGTCGATCGCTGCTGCGTATCGGACCGTCCACCCCTCTCCCGCCCCCTTCCGTCTGCGCCCACCCTCCCCCTATCACGCACGGCTGGGGGGTGACGAGAACCGACGGTGTGGCATAGCTTCCAGAACAAGCATCTTTCAGCGTCAAAACGTAAGAATGGCCGCAAGTTTTATGAAAAAGAATGTCGCGGCTCGTCACAGCTGCCGTGCTGTCTTCCCCACCCAAGGGCTCTCGCCAAGGGGAGGGTCCCCCATCGACCCTATTGGGGCGCCACTCAAGGTGGTGCAACCCGCTCATGGCCGAAGGGGGGCGTCTGGGCCGGCGGCTTCTGCAACGGTCGACTGTGTGGGCAGAGGAGCGGCGCCCGAGCAGTGGCCTTCCCTCGCGGCCAATCACAGTCCGACCGCCTTACGTCACTGCTTTCTCCCGGCGGCAGGCGGCGCCGCGTCGCGCCAGTCTGAGACGGACCGGTGAGCTGCCAACACCACCACGCCGCTGGAGAGAGTCCAGCAGTGCGGCGGCACTCATCAGCCATGTTGAAGGGTAAGTGAGCCGCGCACTGACGCCCCTTGCAGCTCCGCCGCGCTGCCGCGCCGGCCGTCGTCGCGCCGGCGTCGCCAGCTGGCGCACCGCAGCCGTGTTCGCCGTGTTCAAGGTGATCTGTGCAAAAACGTGCAACGGCGCTGCCGGCCCTGTGTGCAAGAGCGGGCGTCCGGGTGGCGGTGAGTGCGGCCTGGAATGCGGCCGTGCTGAGGCCGACCGACCGACCGACGGCCGACGGGGCGAGCAGCTGCCGCCCGACGCCGGACGGAAGCCATCGATTCTGCAGCGGGGCGACGCGCACCGGACATCGTTTATCGGCGGAGGAAAGCCTCGGCTGTCGCCGGCGGCGCGGCGCCGGCGTTCTGGGAGCGACCTCTCAACCCACTTCCTGCGATGGAGATCAGTGAAATCTATCCCGCGCTTCCCGTCGACGCGTATAGCGTGGGTCATTGGGGTCACCGTTAGAGGCGATCGGTCTTGTCCACAGTCCTGCGGGCGTGCCCGTTGCGATTTCTCACGGTCCGCCGTGCAGGGCAGGACCCGTTCTCGACATGACGTTCACGGTCGCCCACGTCCAGCCGGGTCCGTAGTCGCCAGGAAAGTGGCCCACCTCGGCGAAAATGATATGCGCGCGCGTGTTCCCATTCAGCCAGCCGTTTGAGGCGCTGATAGGGGCGCCGTCAGTGGCCCAGGCCAGCGTTGGCAGCGCTGGAGGAGGCCAGGTGCGTCCGGTGTGTGAAGTGGACAATCGCTCGTCCTCCATGGCGCCGCGGCCGCCGCGCCCGCCGCCGCCAAGGCCGCGTTACAAGGCCAGCGCTCGTCTCTGCAACGAGCCCGCCTCGGCGCTGGCCGGCCGGCCGCGGGTCACGATCCGGCCCGGGTGCCGTGACCCAGCGGCCGTGATCCGCCTCGGTCACGAGAGGCAGCCGTGCCAGCGCCCCGCTGTCCGTCGGGGCACGAACGGCGGGGTCGGCCACGCCCCGGCTGTCAGGCATGTCTCTCGCCGCCGCGATGGTCGCTGTCGCTCTGATTTGGGAATGCTGAAATGTTCCCGCAAATCGTAGTCCAAAACGGCGCAGGCACGCTGCCTGGCATCGATTGTTCGGTGGGCAGCTTTGTATGTGATTTGATATATGTTACCTATAGGCCGTAGACGTTATCCCCTTGACAAAATTAAGTCCCAAGTTGGGCGGAAAAGTACCTTCTGGCGCGTCATGCTCAGTGCATCAGTTTGCAAAAACGAGCTGTGGATTTTTGATCTTCACCGAAGTGGTCCAGATATAACACCAAATTACTTTCGCGTACAGTAGGTTAAGTGGATACTTTCCTGCACCCATGAACGTTTTTTTAGCAACGTCACCTATTGTCTTCCTGTGACCTGTCGTGCGATGGTTATCCACGTCCGTTTCTTATCAGCTACCAGGCTAAATCCTCTCTGAGCCCGATAAGAATAAACCTTTCGATTAATTGCCTCTGGTAGCGCAAATAATCAATGCAGCTGACATGTCTTTACAACCCAATAACTAGTTAAGTGATTGAATGATTGCTTCATGCATAGTCATGCTTTGACATCGATGCCCATCCGTAGATTTCTTGAGTCGTTATCGCAAACACAATGCCACAGCGATGTAACGCGCATTTCAAATTTAATTTTGAGCCCATTTTTCCCAGCCACTGCCAATTCGATCTTCGTAAAAGCATATCACCTGGCAGTAATCCGACCCGATTTAAGATGCGCTGATAGAGTGGGATTTATGACGCGTCTGCAAAAGGCGCCGCCGCCGGCGCTGCCGGGCCGGTGCTGGTCCGTGCCGGGCGCACACCCACCACCACTGCCCACGCCTCAGCCGGTCCGCACCCATCGGCGGACGCCGCCCCGGCCCCGGGCCGTGCCGAAGGTCGAGGAAGTGTCGCAGGACCGGAGGGCCGCGAGCGCCGCCCGCGCGCCGCGCTGCCGAGGACAGCCCCGGCCGCACTGCGGTGTGACGGGGTATCCAGGTCACCGAAGGGGTGGGGGTAGGCAGTCCGTGGCCATCTCCCACTGATCCGTGTCATCGCTGTCTGGTGCTCTCTCGCTTTCATTCGGTTTCCCTTTGAGTGGCTTATTCTTTAGATTTACTGTGCTTCTGGCCGTGTGGTTTTCAGTCTCTCTAAATGCTTTCTTCGCGCTCCTGGAATAGGCACATAAAGTACGTAGTGCGTTGATTTGGAGCCAGCTGAAGCTCCACTTGCTCAGACGCTGCACATTTTCTGGAGACCCCCCACCCCCACCCCCTCAGCCGCCCAGACACTGCTAGCCGTCCCCCAGCCTGCTCACCTTCGATCTATCCAGATATAAATCCGGCTCACGGCCTTCTGGAGAAGCGTGGGCGGCGGAGAGCGGAGAAAGGAAGCGTCTGGCTGGCTCGCCGAGGGCCCACATCTGCGCCGTGTGCCGGTCCTAGATCGCAGCGGTTTCGATTTTACCGGCCGGCAGGGTTGCGGTACTTTCAGTTTCGCTAAATGATCCGTGGGTGCCGTTACGCGCAGACGGCGCGGGTCGGCGGGCACCGCCGTGCGGTGTTGGCCTCCTGTGCGCCATTGCTCTCCCCCGCGCACCGCAGTCTCCGACGGTCCCGTTGTCGCTCCCAGCGAAGGCTCTCGGCGCCAGGCGGCGGGCCGACCGTTCGCGGCCGATGCAGGCGATCGGAACCGTTCTCCTCGGCTGCTGGCGAGCCCAGCCCTGGGAGTGTCCCACAGCATGAATCAGCCGCATGCCGCCGCGGCGCCATCAGCCGTGAGTTACGCGACGATGCGCCGGACGCGTCCGTCGCGGACGGGACCGCGGACGGCCTTTGCCGACCGCCGCACCATTAGGGTGGAATTCCGAAACGGTGGGAATTGTTCGTGGCCAGTTTCAGCGCCGCTGTAAGGCCGCCGGCGCGATTACCAGCGACCTTGGCGATCGGCTGATCGGCGCCAGTTGCGTGTCGGCCGAGTCCATCATTACGCCGACCCGGACGAGTCGTCAGCGCTCCCACGTGGCTCACGTTGAGTGGCATTGGCGCCGCCGTATTATCCGCCCGACCTGCCAACCTCCGCTCGCCGTGTGGGCGCCGGGAAGGCTCTGGTGCTCTGTCCGATCCAATAACCCGTCCGGTGCGCCACTGACGGTGAGCTGGAGCGGGTAACAGACCCCACGGCTGTCAACGTGCCGCCTCCTCCCTCTCTATCTCGGCGCGCGGACAATGGCCACCCCTCGCCACTCAGTAAATATCGGGCGCATTCCTGGCAGTCGGCGCGGATGAGTTAGCATGTCAGGGTCGAGCGGTCAGTCCTCCTGGTTCGTCCAGCCGGCCGGGTCATCTCCGCTGTTGACAGACAGCCCGAGCCGCGCACCCCATCCGGCCGCTGATGGCTGATTTATAGCGCTCGTCCTCTGTAGACGCCGCCCGCCTATCTGGCAGATCTGAGCACGCCACAGTGACCAGCGAGGGGGACGGCGCCCGCGCGGCGATGATCTAGATGGCGGCGCGGCCGGTGGTAGCCCGAGCTGTCACTCTGTTTACACTTGTCGCGCCGGTCCAGGGGGTCGCACGGGCCGGCGGGCGGCGCTCACACCGCCCGTAATTGAGGGTTCGCAGGCGGATCTAGATTAGGGCAATTTGCCGCCAGTAATGGACCTCTGTGTCAGGGGTCATCAGTCCTTCCCCGCCGCAGCGAAGGTACGCCAAGCCGCCGTGTGGAGGGTATCCGTTTTGGAAAATGCTTAGGGCTCTGAGAGCCATCCTGGGATGTTTTAGCGTCACGTTCCTCGCTGCCTTACTCGTGATAGGCGACCATGGTGAAGAATCTCCCTGACCCTGCGCCTACCGAAGACACAGACAGAAGCCGGCCCGGCAAGAGGCCTGCTGTTCGCGCCTAATGAGCCATGAAGCGAAGGCAGCTGCGCGGAAGCACCTTCTGTGTCTGCTCGGTCCGGCTGGCACGCGGCCACCTCCGTCACACGACAGACGGATCCGTCAGAACTGCTGACTGCCACGCGGCACGTGTGCCGGAGACGAAAGTCGTCACGGGTGATGTCGTGTGGACGGGAGCTCGCTCGCTCGCTCGGACGTGCGTGTGACGCGCTTTGGTGTGGAGCGTGCTTTGGAGTGCGTCGCCTGTTAGGACTAAGGTTTTCCTTTGTATGTCTTAATGTGATTAAGTGCTCGTGGTTTATAAGGGGCACGGAGGGAGTGGCCGCTATGTCTTGAGCAACTGCGCCCAGAACCCGTGGTATTACAGCCAGTCCTATAACCGAGGGAATCCGCCGTCCATCGGATTGTGCTGCCAAGACACGTGCTGAGCTGATGCAAACCAAGGCTGATGTTCCCAAGCGCCCCTTTGCTTGTTGTAAAGGCAGGTCAATTTGTGTCTAGGTCACTGCCTTTCAAATTGCATATACTGTGGCCTCGCTGCATACTTAGCGTGCAATGTATCCTAATGTCTGCAAGCGGGGTGTTTTTCATTTTTCGGTCATTGCACTACCCACGCGTACATCTGACATGCGCTTTCTGTTTTCAGCTGAGATGCCGTTCCTCGTGGGACTGGTAGTCTGGACTACCCTAGTCGCCGCGGTAAGTAACGACCCGCCCTGCCTCCTTTAAAAATGCCGGCGGTGTATAGCGGTGCAGTCCACCCCCAGCCGCCGGAGCCGGTATTGGCCGTCACCTTATCGGGGCGGGGGCTGGCGCCTGTCCACCTCCGCACACTCCGGAGGTCCGCGGCTACCCGGACCTGGCCGACGGTCACCAGGGCGGCCCTCGCCGGTCTGGAGCCGTCGACCGCGCTTGACCGCAGTCCACAGCGGCCCAATATGGGATCACTTTGGCAAGCTGTGGCTCACCCAGGCCCACCACAGCTTAACATATGTTTACCCACCAACATATGCAGTAGACCACCGCAATCGGTTATATTCAACTTTGGCTCGCATTGGTTCACCGCGAAACCCTTGTTTTCTCATGTTCCACAGTGGTAGACAAAAAGACCATGACCAACAGCTTTAGCGCGTTCCTGTAAGCCAGTCGTCGTTCGACTTGGCCTGAAGGATGTCTTTGTTGAACACACGGAGCGTCATCGCCATCAGGAATTGTCAAAACCCTGGCAGGCGGATTTGTCGCGGCGGCTTTTCGGCAACAGACCTCGACAGCTTTGAAGCACTCGCCGAGTTCGCAATTTTCTAATCCGCGATGACCGGTTCGTTAGAGGAAACGTGCGCCCGCCACAAAGGCGGCCGGCCGCCGTCGGTTTATCCGGACCGTGCACGTTAGCTGGTCTGCGAGCGCCGTTGCCACTGCAGTGGAGAGCGCACCGCGACGGGGAGGTCGTCGGTAAACGAACAGGAATGGACTGCTGAAGCCGTGTCCGCCGACGCTCGGCCCGCCTGTGCAGTGCATTCCGTGGCGTGCCCGGCCTGGCACCGTGACGTCGCCACTTGCACGCATGCCGGCATGTTGTCTGCGCCGGCCAACATGCAGATAACACTTCGTCCGTGTCATCCGAGCCGTGTCCTGCCCTGGTGCAGGCAGTGGCACCGGCCGCGTCCCGCCCCGCAGAACCGTGTACCGCCCGGTCGGGCGCAACGCGCGCCACGTTCGGCGCGCACGGTGTGGCTCACATCTTGCCCAGTCACTGCCCGAGTCAACGTCCGCCGGCGGACGTTGCGCACGTCCGGCCGTGGCAGACGTGCGCGCCGGGCGCTCGAGGCTCGGACGCCGGATGCGCGGCATGTGTTTACCGGCGGCGGCCATTAGACAGGCCGCTGCAGCCGACAGGGCAGCTGGCGCGGCGGCGAGGCGGCGGCGCGGCGCGGCGGCGGCAATAACGGCGCGGGCATAGGGCGCTGACCCGCCCCGGCGGCCACGGCCGCGGTCGCGCGGCGCGTTTTTGGCGGCGGCTGCTCGGTCCGCTGGCGGCCGAGCGCGCCTCGCCGCCAGCCGCCTCTCGCACCTGACAGAGCAACGGTTTGTTTCTGGCGCGGGGTTTTGTACAAACGCGCTGTTATCGTGCGCAGCCGGCCGCGGATCGGCTCGTGTCATTAACACTGGAGTCAGCTGGGGTGACGGCAGGAAGACGCCCCAGCGAGCAGGCGCGCGAGAGGACAACAAACGGCCAGCTCAAAAACGACCGACAAAGAGGCGGGGAGCACTGTTGTTGCGATCGCTATCTCCCATTGAGCTGATATTTTCTGTCGTGTTTTTCGGCCTTACGACACGCACCCTCAAGAGACGGAGGCATTGTGCAAGCGCGAATGGCGTTAGTCACCAGCTGGAGCCGAGATCGAGAACATGACTGCACCTTATGAGGGGAGGATTTCCCTCCACCGCGTGATGCACCTGAGAGGCTCGAGAACAGCCCTTGACAGACGTCCGAGAACCGCCCGCGTCTTCCGGCGCCTCTCCCCAGACGCTGACGTCACGCCTCACGTGACCTCACCTCGCCTGGCGGTCTGCTCGCATCCGGTCCACGGACCCCCGCGGCGGCCCTGACGCTCACACCGGCCAGCTCTCGGCCCCCTGGGCAGGCACACGCCGCTGCCGACCCTGTGAAAATCGGCACAATGCCGACAAGGCAGGATTTCTGCTGCGCCCGGCCTGCTCACCGCATGCGGCTGTTCACGGCGGTCGCACAATGCCAGGAAGCCGTAACTCCCGCGTCAGCCGACCGCCGTGACGTGTCGCCGGCGTCTGTCGCGCCGACTGCCGCTCGAGGAGGGCAGCGTCACGCAGCTTCCTCTCTGGAGCTGGTGCGGGACTCCGCGCGGCGTCGATCTCCGCCGCGCAGCCGTCATTACACCCGGCCCGGCGGCCATTGCGGTGCGGCGGCCGCGGCGGTCGCGGCGCGGCCCGTTCTGGGCCCGGCGCCGCGACCCCAACCGGCTAAATTGCGCCGCGGTCGCCAGCCGCCGACCCGCCGCGAGTCATTGACCCCGAAGATGGAGCATTCGGGGCGACGAGCAGTGCGGCGCGTCCGCCACCGGTGTGCGCCGGTGCCGAAAGTGAAAGGCTTGGCGTGAGACAGAGGGTGCGATCGACCCCTCTCCGGCGCGGGGCATCACTCAGGGGGCACGCGCAGCCCCGGTGTCGGCATCCGGCGCGCGCGGCCTCCCGTCTGAAGGTCACTGCCGAGCGCCGAGGACCGGCGGCGCCGGGTAACGAGCTGTGGTGGTCGCCGGCCCGAGCAGCGCGCGTCCCTCCGACGCCCGGGCCGCGTCGCGTCTGCCGCCAGCGGACCGCGCGGCAGACCTGGCGCAGCGCCGCTCGCTGGCGCACGCTCTGCTGAGGCAACTGTGCCGGTGCCGTGCCAGTGGCAGTTTTGCAGTCGCATAAATCTGACCGCCAGCCGCGGCGGGCCACCTTGCGGGAAACAGCGCCCGACAGTTCACAGCCACGGCCGTCCAAATAGCGCAATGTTGCCGCAAATGGGTTCATGGCGAGACCACAGGCACCGGCATATATGACGCTCCTGTCGTACTAAGCGGCCGTGGGCCTTACCCGCTGAACCCTGTGGCAATAAATACTGCGTTCTATTATGTATTCTGCGTGAGTAGGCAGTACATTGGTGCAACCTGCTGGGCCTCACCAAAAGTATGGTGCTGGTTGCGTGCCGCATTTCAACACGCCGTGTGTTTGGCATTCCGAGCCACGGCACATCAGCTTGAGAACTTCGTGGGCTGACTTCTTAGGATCACCGGATGTGAGGCTAGGGAGGTGCTAATGTTATGCACAATGGTCTGCCGCTGAGCGAAAGTAAATACAAATAAGGAAGTTTGTCCTTCTTCTCTTCCAGTGCTCGTGCTGCGAGAATACCTTCAAGGTCATGCCCGGATAAGCAGATGCATTATCATACAACCTTGGAAGTCACTAGACCATCGGCACTGTCACAAGATGAACAACAGGTCATTTGTTTCCGTTCAGTTTCTCGTGCAGGAGCGGGCCAACCTCAGTCACTGTCATGTAACCCACATTGCAGCCAATATCCCCCTCCATCGTCTCTTCGTTCCATCATCAAACCCAACTCCCTAGTATTGTCCGGGCATCAGAACGGTTGCATAATGTTCCGAGCCTTGTCGACTTCACACGCCACCTGTTCCGCACGCAGATGGCCCAACGGCCGCGCCGCACAAAGCGACCGTCACCCGTCCCATTGATCCCATCACTGGGGTCCGGTCGCCCCCGTGCCGCCAGTCGCGGTTATGTAAACGGGACGGCGGCGCCGTCGTCCACCCACGGGCGGCCGAGAGTGAAAGTGCGGCAGCCTCGCTCGTCATCGCTGCGAGGCGCGTCCCCCGCGCACATGTGACGCGACCCCTCGCAAAACCTGCCGCAGAGCAGCTCCCGCCCGCCGCTGACCTCCTCACACGCTCCGCCGGCCCCGAAATACCGCCCGGCACCGGCCTGGGCCGTCTGCACCCACCGGCAGCCGAGAAAGCAGCCCCCGGTTCCGATGGGCCGCCGGTCTGAGGTCAGCACGTGACCTCCTTCTCGGCGCCGCTCGCGGGCGGCGCGGGCGGCGCGGCGGCCGGCTCTGCGCCGCTGCTGCGTCCGCTGGCGGTCGATCGCGCGCCGCCCGACGGCTACTGGGGCGTCGCCGACGACTGGAGCCGCGTCGATGTGAGCGATCAGGCGCCTGCTGCAAGGTTACCGGGGCCCGTAATGGGGCCGCCGGCGGCCGCTCAGCCGCGACGAGAAACTATCCGCGCCGTCTGTGCCGCTTGCGTCGGTATGTCTGGCGCAACGACCTGTCCCGTGCGACGGCAGCCCTGCTGGTGCGTCGCACTGCGGCCGGCTTGCTGGCGGCCGGCCTGCTGGCTCGGTCGGAGTGGCTGGATTACGTCGCCTGGCGCCGGCGGCGGTGCGAGCAGTCGTGGCTAACCCTGGCGGTCACGGGCGCGGCAAGCCGCCGCCGCCGCGCCCGGCCTCCAATCGTTGACCCGTGCCCTCTGACCCCGCGGACATTCCTGATGTCTTCTGAATTAAGGGTCTGCCCGGCCGCCGGGCGTCCCTTTTTCGCTCCGCCGCCGGCTTCACATCAATCGGCTAAAGCGACCAGCTGTCACAGCCCGGGAGAGCCTCTCCCGGTGGCCGACCGGCGGGTCTGTTCGCTGAGCCGGGCGTGCCGGATCTGTCCAAGAGGTCCCGAGGTCACCGCGGCCCCCGCAGTCATCGTCCGCCCAACGTCGCGCCGGCCGGCTCCAGTGCGGCCACCCTGTTGGTTGACTCGAGGCTGGGTTTCTGCGGAGAAAGGAGCGTCGCAAAACCTTGTAACGTTTGCTTTGGCCAAGGCTTCCCCACCCGACTTCGTGCGATGCATGTCAATGCCAGCACATGGCGAGTCGTGCTCAGGTCAACGAATTGTGCGGTAGCTCCAAACGCGTCGTTATTCCAGGCGATGCTACTACCTTGGTGGCGAGGTAGCTACATCGCACGGCTGCAGCACGCAGCCGGCCGAGTCAACGTCACGGACCGGTGCCGCGCCTGACTCTTCCCTCCACAAAAAGCGCCACCGTCATGCCGATTCCCCCGACCGCGGCCGGCGCCCTCGCTTCTCCCTCCGGCCATTATCGCCGACCACATCCTTGCCATGAACAAAGCGGACGCGGCCAGGCCGGTGATCTCAGCCCGTCGGCTCTTCGCCGCGTCTGGCTCATGATCTCACACAGTTCAAGGCCGCGACACGGCGCCGCGCGGCCGGCGACCGGCGGCGGCGGCCGGCGCCCGCGGCGGCGTTGCAGTGGCGCCGCGGGCGCGACCTTGGTGCCGCTGCCATGACCACCCCCGCCGCCGCCGGCCAACGCCGGGCTGAAGATGGGGCGCCGGCGCGCTTCCGCGGGCTGGTCACGCGAACCATGTGCCCTGTGCGGAGGAGATTCGGAGAAACGGCGCGCCGCCGACCGCGGGAAAGCGCGCGCCGCGATCGGCCGGTCTCACGTGGTGGGTGCGGCTTCCCTCCGTTTGCATTAGTCCGCTGCGTGGGCCGCTCCGTCGGGAACAGTGGACGCATTCTCCCACAATGCGGTGTTTTCTGTGAAAGCAAAACACCGGAGTGACTCGTGGCGCTCCCCCGGGCGGTGAATGTCACCGGACCTGCGCCGCCTCCCATGGTCGCATTGGGACACCGGCCGATCCCCAGCCGAGGTGAAAACGGCCCTCATCACGATCGGGCGCCCGGCCTGTCAGATAACCGAACCTGACCGGCCCGCGCAGGCCCGCCAGCCCTCCGCCGCCCACCGGTCGCTCGCTCGCTGTTCGCGCGGTCCGCGGGATGCCGTTCGAGAGACGTCGGCATGGGACGCCTCGAATGCCGCGCGTTATCCGCTGCAAATGCCGGCATGAGTCGGAGCGTCACGCGACCGGGCACTCCTCGCGCCCTGCCCCTGGAGGCGGCGGCCTCGCCGGACCGTCGTCGCGTCGTGCCCGGTCATTCCTGCGGCGGCGCGCGGGGGGGGGGGGGGGGCTCCAATCTGGACGCTGCCGTCCGGAGCATTGTCGTGTCGGCCGCCGTCGGCCCGATTCGCCCGACTCCGTCGCGGCTGGCCGGTTTTTCTGGGCGCCATTGTTTCCGCCGTCGGGCCGTCTCGGCGGCGGCGGCCGCTGACGATCAGACATGAGGACGTCGGCCATGCACTGTTGCGCCGCCCGCGGCCGAGCCGCCGTCGCCGCCGCCGCCGCCGCGCTTCAGGAATCCAGCCGCCGGGTTTGATGACTCGGCGGCCGGCGCAAAAACGGCGGCAGCTGCCGCGCCGGCGACATGAACGACCGCAGTAAAGCGAGAACGCCATCCTGCGCTCCGTCATTTGGCCGCATTACGGGCCCACCCGGCCGGCGACGCCCGCTCCGGCCATTTGCATATGCGGCACCCGCTCCGTCCGGGGCGGGCCGGCGGAGATGACGGGTCTGACGTGCAGGACTGTCATACCGCTGACGCCGACGACTTTTTGCCGCCAATGACCGTCACGAGGTGGCGCCGTGCCCGCCGGCCGCGAAGGCGGCGCCGGATATTTGTTTACGACCCCGTAAAGTGTCTCGGATTCCCCGGCTGCCCGGGAGCAAGGTTACAAAGGAGGCGATGACTCCGGCGGAGGCCGGTCGAGGGGACGCCGGCGTCTTTAGATAATTGACTGTTTTGACGCCGGCCTGCGGCGAAGCCCTCCAGCTGCGCACCCGGTGGCGGCGCAGGCACACACCGCCCAGCCGTGCTTTATCCGTGAGTCATCGGGAGCCATGGGTCACCGCTGCAGCTGGCGATTGTGAAACCACATCGGGCTCCGGGCCGAGAAACCTTGCAGCCACCGTATATGGCGGGGCGGCTTTGCACAAGTCCCGTTCACTTGGCGGCCGCCGCCACGGCGCGACCGGGCGGTCCCCTGCGAGCGGCCGGTGGGATAGTCTCTCGTCCCCGTTGCAGTCACCCGGTAGAGGTGATACGCACCCGTGACGCATTGGGGTCTTCGCTTCGTCGCGCTCCGCGGCGCTACATTCGTGGTTCGCGTTAAGGTCGCCTGTAAGGTTCGCCGCACGCGACTGGGCATCTGAGGTCGCGCGGCCTCTTGATGATGTATTGCGGCGCTTGTTGAATCGCGTTCGTTCTGCCAACGACCAGCCTTTCTGCCAGGTCATGGTTAGCAGGGACCCTGCGTCAACAATGTGAGGTGCACACACATCCCGCTGTGTCTCCAAGGTGCTTCTGCAAACGACCTCGGGTGCGGCAGGATCTGGTATCTTATAGCAGCTGCTCAGGCATGTCTCTTTCGGAAATTATGTCATGAAAGGTGATACGTTATTGCGCTGAAAGCGGGCTTGATCTGAAATTTATTGATGCAAAGATTATTGCTGCTTTCAATGAACCAAACTGAACTAAAAATTTGGCTGACTGGATTGTCTGTTTATAAAAGAAAACCATCTCTATGATGGCACTGACGCTTAGCTGTTGGCTCAGAAATCCACTAGCAATAGGCTTTTTAGAGATGGCAGAAGCATTCGGCTTAATCAGGTAGCTACTTCATAACAACACATCATTGTATACAGCGCTAGACGGCGTAGGCCACGCTGCATAGGTATTCGGGTGCGAAGAAGAACGAAAGGGGATTGTTGTCACCCCAATGTCGTACAACTAGTTTGAATGATGGTGAATCAACGGGCGAAATACACTTCGACATCCCCTTCCGCGGAGGTTGCTGCATGGGCATTAAAGAATCCCATTTAATTGCTCAGAGTTGAAATTAGTGGATCATGGATGTCTGTACAAATAGGGGAAAGCAGCTGGCAAGTACCGCAACTGTTTTTTGTTCCCAAGTGAGAAGGGGTTTTTACCAGGGACGTGGGGCCGGTACAGCGCCAAGAACAGTGTCCAGCGGCCTTCCCAAGGCCGGCATTTACCCGGCCGTCCTTCAAGCGGTACAATGTCGGCCGACAGGACATTCAGCGTCGGCGAATAGCCGGACGACCTGAACTGATGAACTCACTTTCATGAGCCGCGGCTGAATTGGCGGGACATAGGGAGGAAGCGCCAGCTCCGGTCAGCCACCATTCAGCGGGAAATGGTCGGGAAATCGCTCCCTTTAGCGACGCCACAGCCACCCTGCCGAGCTGCCCGACACCAATTAATTGTCGACGCCCTGTAACGGGGAGTCTGGGCGCCGGTTATGTTAAGCTGCTCTCAATGGCTGTCAATGCACAGCAAATGGAGTAATCGGCGGGATGGCGAGCATCACAGAAAACGGGTTTAGACGATGATTTGGCTTACTTGTAGGGTTAGGCCATTTGTACGCTTCAAGCTATGCTCCCAGTAATGCAAAACTGCTCTCCTGAGTTATGCTCATTTCGACAAGAATAAGAGTAATCTCCTGGGGGTGCTTTTAGATGTCTGGCATCAATTACCATACTCTACTGCCTGGGTTCAGTGCCCAACCCTAATCGTCGCTCGTTTGATGCGATCCATCAGCGCAGGTAATGGAGGACATCACGTCTTGTCCCAATCAATCGCTTGCATTGTGACGCAAGCTCGACGACAGAACAAACCCGCAACGGTCGGCCGGCTGACAAAGGCCGCAGTCAGCTGCCCGCCTGGCGACCGGCGATGACCGTCTTGGAATGAGTTCACGGCAGAGGTCAGACCGCGCTCCTCAGGGTCACCGGAGCCGTCAACATTCCCTCATCCCGCCGTGGTGGGCTCGGTAACCTGGCTCTGCACAATCGCAGTGGGGGTGAACATGTTTGGCCGCGATCCGTTTGCGATCGGGCTATCGGGGTAGTATTCGCACGTGTTGCAGCTTTGTCTGTGGTCGCGGCGTGCGTGACGCTAACGGAACATGTCTCTCGCTGTTTCAGACGTTCGGCCAGACGCCACCTCGACAAGACTATGGTGGCGCGACACGGGAAGTGTTTTTTCTGAACTTAGAGGACGGCTATTTTGGCTGTCAAGTGAATGAGTCCTCCGAGGTGCTCCAGCTTTTCGAGCTCTCGCAATTGTGTGATGGTGTGCCTCAGTGCTATCTCGGCTCTGACGAGCTGACCAAGGAGCTTAAGTGCACAAGTAAGTCAAAATGTCATACTTATGTATTACGTACTAGATCCGGTTATGAGTTTCAATAAAGCTTGAGATACACTTAATCTAACCGTGCTCGAAAAATGATGTGTAAGAACCACGGTGCCCGCGTAGAATCGCAGAGTTCTGTCCCAATGCCAATCATGGACATTATTGATATCTAGCTAGTGTTTTTATCAGTGCGTGTGTGCGTCCCCGGGCGATTGGGGGGGGGGGGGAGGGCTATATGTGCTGCTCCAGCGACCATTTTCGATGGCTCCATCGCTCCTATAACACCGGTCCCACATTACCGGTCGATAATGCCATCTAAGCTCCCACGCCCCAAAAGGTTGTTCGATTGCGTTTTGCCACCAGTTCACTTTCGTTGACCCCAAGGTCACAACGGGTCATGATTTATTGCTCTTCGATTCCCCACTTCCGGCATTGTGTGTTATATTTGCTCTCAGTGTAAACATTGTGTAGTGCACAATGTGTACAAACGGTTGGCAAAGTCTTCGCCCGAGTTATCTGCTGATCTCTGCCAGCCACAAATAAATGGCCATGGTTCGCAAGTATTAATGACATAAAAGCTGCATCAGCTGAACTTTGCATGGGTAGCCTTGAGGTCGTTAAGAGATCCCGCCTACATACTGTGCATTAACAAGGCATCCGTTCTGCAAGAAGATCAAAGCCCCTCTTTGACTTAGTGCTTAACTCGTAGCATCAGACAATCTATATAACTACCCTCATCTCATTTCAACTGATCACGCGAAGGTGATGTCAGAGTTCGCGACATCAGTCGCCTGCAGAGCGGCTCGGCCGGTGCTCGGCTGCAGTCGACACGAGGGGCCCCTCCGACCCCGACCGCATCGGCGCCGTGACCCAGCGTCCCGATGGCTTTACGGTCAGGGCGAACCACTCATCGGAGCATGTTTTTGCCGTGCCGGGCGTGCTATGCCTGCGATTACGTTCTTGTCCGGCGGTGCGGCGACGGCGGCGGCGGCCGAACGGAGCCGGCCGCGCTCCGGCGGCGGCGGCCGCCCGGCCGTGGCGCGGCCGCCGCCGCCGGACCGGTCCGCCCCGGCCGCCAGAGGTCGTTGCATCGGCTGCGGTGATGGCGCGATGACCCGAGCTCAACTCTGTTCCAGGCACATGTCAGCTTGCTACCGGCCGGCCCTGTGTCAACGGTGCTTGCTTAGATTCTCAATGTCACTGCAACGACGGTTTCGGTGGCAAGGGCTGCGAGATGCCCGGTGAGTATGGAGGCGCTGCGGGGTTGGACAATGACCTCTGATGGTAATGGCGCAGATAATGTGTCGTTTTGGCTGCAAATAGCTCAATTCTTTTTCAGTTCCAGATGTTTGCATGCCTGGTTCGAATTGTTTGTGAGCTATCGCGGATGAAAGTCGCTTACGTTGATCATTTAGAAACAGACTATGACGTGGCTGATGTCGAATGACTCTGTCCCTCTGCCTCTACTGTTCTTCCGGGCTTGCGCGTCCCCCCTCCCTAAAAAAAACTTATAAAATCAAACGATGAGTCGACGAAAGACACCGGGCTTCTGGGCCGCGACGCGCGCACGCAATCACTTCACAAGCAGCCGCTGTCGCAAGTGGCGCCCCTGGGAGCGCGAGCACAGACCAGACGCGCACAGCGTAGCAGCTCTGCCCCAGGCAGGCGGGCCCCGTCGCAAACCATTAGGCCGCCGCTGCGTCGGCAGCCGGCGGGCGTCGCAGCAGCCTCGGCTCGCAGTCGGCGGGCGCCAGATGTAACGGCGTCGAGGCCGGCCGGATCGCGCTCGCTTCCGGTCGCTGCCCGGTCGGTCGCGACGCGGGCGCTTACAGGCGGCGCTCGTGACGCGCAGACGATCGCTGCGCGGCGGCCCGCCGGCGACGGTCGTGACGTAGATGTGCGGAAGGCCGGCGGAGGCCGGCGCGGACGTGAACATAGGAAAAACGCCCCGCCGAGTGGTGGCACGGCTAAGAGAGGCCGTGTTTCGTCGACCCCCCACCCCCATCAGTCTGCGGTTTTTATTCTCAAAGCCGTGTCTAACCGATTTGTTTCCATTGGCGCCCCGGCTGATGATCGATGGCGATCGATTGTCTCTGCGGACCCTGCGGCTTGGTATGACGCGGCGCTGTTTCCAGATGAGAATGAATGCAAGTACCGGCCGTGCGACATCTTCGCGCGGTGTACCAACACGATGGGCGGCTTCTTCTGTTCCTGCTTTCCGGGATACGAAGGAGACGGCCAGACATGCAAAGGTAAGGCTTCGCGTTGACGCTCGGCCGTCCCACTCACCCTGCGATCGCCCTCACACATCCTGTTAAGCCCACGGTGAAGGACTGTTTGTCCACTTCGACGCCAGCCGCGTATTGCCTGAAACGGGCGAAGCGTATGCGGTAAGCCGCTTTCTGTCACTCTCCGGAAGCCCACGCGCCGCCTGCCTGACAGAACTCATCATCGCGGCGTCTTTACTTTGTTTTGAAACTACACATAGGTGCGCAACAACACGGCTTTGACGGGACGGGCGGTAACGCTTCCAGACAGCTGCGGAGGGCGTTGGCTAAGAGGCCCTTGCCGGCTCCGTCGACGAACCGTTAGCATTATTCGGTCGTGTGTCTCAGCAGGAGTCCAGCGAGTCTAGCGAACGGGTGTGGGCGGCATCTGCTGGCTCTGAGCCAGTCGGTTAACCTACATCGGCCGCCGACGTCGCCTAGGAAACAATGCTGAACCGCCGACGCCATCGCCCACCGGACTCAGAATCCTGCCCTGGACAGGGCGGCCCGCAGGCCGGGCTGGTCGCGGCGGTGGGTGCGCGGGACGTCGAAAGACGGGCCCACCTCTCGGCCCGCGGGCCCAGGGCGTCGGCGAGTTAATGCGGCGGAACGCGGCTGACGTCAGCACCGAGCTTATGGGAAAACAGCTGCGCACACGCCCCGTGACGCCCCACCCCTCATCAGGGCCCTCCTCCTCGTCTGGCGGCGAGGGGTGCGCACCCGGCGCGTGGGCCGCCCTCTCCCGAGAGGGGAAGGGGGGGGGGGGCGAAGACGAAATCGCCCGCCCGGTGGACCCGCCCGCCGGCTGTCTCTTCCCGAGGGTATCAGACGTTGTACCGCCTGCTGTTGGGTCCATGGTTCGGCCGGGCACAAAGGATGTCGAGGGCAAGCACGGCTCGTAAATCGCGCTGCAGCCGCGCCTGGCTTGCCTCTCCGTTTGCAGAGCTGGCGCCGACTGGCCCCTGCTACTCGGTGTTCCTGGAACTCGTCAGCCGGGCATGAGATATAAAATGATGGGGTGACGGGACTCCAAACGGCGCCGTTCAAAATTCACTCTGCCTACTCTGCACGCCGTCGGGCTCGTGCAGGTGCAGTGATGGACGTGAAGCGGCCTCCGCTGCGGACATTCCCGAACTTTCTCCGTTCGGGCGCCGCCCCGTCTCTGTTTCTAGGCCGACCTGCCAAAAGCAGCGCCTCGTGATTGAGCAGCTTCGACCCACTCTGTCGCCGCCGGGACGACCTCCTTCATTTGTCACGCAGATGAGCCGGCCGCCAGTTTAAACAGCTCTGGCGCCCGGCCGGCCGCCGTGCCAGGTGTGGGATGGCAGAGCCGGGCGGCAAGGCCGCCAGGCCGACTGGCCCCGCCGCCACCCACGCGCCGCCCGGGCGGCGGCGGCTCCTCCGCCCGCGCCCGCCGTCCGGCAGACACGACCCGCCGCGCGCCCCCGCCCGACGCGCGTGCGTCGCCCTCCGACGCTCGTGACGGGCGCGGCGCGCGGCCGGACCCGCCGCCGGCCGTTCCGTCGCGCACTCCCCGGCCGCCCACTCCGGGTGTTTCCGTCCCGGAGTGACGGCCGCGGGGCGGACGCCTCGGCCGGCGGCGGCGGCGGGTCCGTCCAGTCCGCCTCGGCCGGTGTGGGCCGGCCACCAAGGCCGCGGTGGCAGGCGCCGCCACCGGTGCGACGGGCCGCGGGCGGCGGGCGGCGCCGCTGACGCACGCGGCGCCGCCGACTGTCGCGCGCAAGAGGCGCTGGCCGAGATCGGCCGAGGGACGGCGGCGGGGCGCGACGACCCGTGCATGACGCGGCGAAAGCGGTCCGGTGTCCGGGGTAGGGCGGCGATGTGTTATTACGTTAGGCTCGTTAGACGTTCCTATTGTTATAACGGTAGCAATGGCCGGGCTTAATGACGGGTCCCGAACACGTCACTCCATTAGCCCGATCATGTGTTGCGACGTCTGAACGTGCATATCGCATCGCCCGTGTTCCCCAGTGCCGGTCGCGCCGCGTTTGGGTCGATCAGTCGGGGCCTGCAGCCTCCGAGATGAACAGCTGCAGCACAGCGCTGCCGCCCCAGGCGGGGTTTCGCTTTCTGTGGCCATAACGGTACGGGGCCGCCCGCACGCGAGGCCCAGCCTGGCCCAACCACCGGACTTCGGTGCAAATCCTTGAAAGTGGATTTGCAGCTAGACGAGCCCGTTGCCAGCACGATGGATGCGCAGATAACCGAGCCTTGTTCGGTTCCCCGGACGGCGTCAAATTCATGAGAGCGTCTCAGCGAGGTAGCCGGATTTCTTCATGGAATGTCGCCTCAACCAGGGCCAGCTTGCTTGGTTTAAGGTGCAACTGAATTGCAGCCAACAGCGTGCTAGATGGCGGTGGATGTCTGATACAGCTGTGCGCCCCCTCCCCCTCCCCTGCCTCCAGTACCGGGCAGAACGCTCCTCACGTCCGGGGTGCGCACCCCGGGTCCCGAACCGCCGCAGTCTCATCACGCGCCGGCCCAAATTTGGCGGTTTGCGCAACGCGGAAGGCTGTTAGCGCATGCCAGCTTTCACTTTGACCCAGGCTGTTTTTCGTCGGCTGACAGTGACGATGCGCCATTGTGGCCTCGTATCAAGCAGCCGCCGGTCCTGGCGTCACGTCGATTGAGCCGGCATTTAACCAGCTGACACGCCTTCACCGGCGCGCTGTCACGGTCACCACCGCCCCGACACCCTCCGGTTCACCCCGTCGGTAACACCTGACCCCGGGCTCAAGCCAGCGCACCACAACAAGGCCATCCAATGACACGTCGATGCCTGCACACTGCGCAAGGAGCGCCTCGGCGACGCTGACGCGTCCACGCGGTATCGCCGGCCGACGGCCAATCAAAACGCGGCGCGCGATGCCGCGCGGCGGCGGTGAAAGTGCGGTCGGGGCTTTATCAGTCGGCGGCGGCGGCCGGCGGCGCTCCCGGCGGCGGCGCGTGCCGACGAGCCGCGCGGCGCCGATTTCCCTCCGCCTCCGAGAGGTGACCGGCCAGCGCCCGACCGCTGATCTGCGGCCCGGGAGAGGCCGCCTGACGGCCGCCTGTGAGAACGCACATGACGGAGGCAGGTGCTGAAAGCCGCACCCGGGCCGTGGGTGGGCGCGGTCACCTGACTCAGGTGGGCCGGCACGCGTTAACACGGCTATGACTGTTCAACTGGGTGGGTACACGGGCCAATGTCAGGCGATCGAGTCCAACGAAAGGTACAGTTGGAACGGGGGCGCATTTTTGCGCAAGACCCGATGCAGACAATGCCCCAACACTCCTTCCACAGCGGTTCCGCCCGCTCCCAATGTCAGACCACCTAGCTTTGCACCAAAGGCGCATTGTGCGCTGCCCCGAAACACACCCATCATCCATCCGCCACACAGAGGCCACTGACGCGCTCGCAGCAGTGGACTGCAGCTGTCAGAACAGACCAGGCCATACCGGACCAGACCAACAGGACCAGGCCGGACCGGACCAGTCCAGGATAAACCAATCGGGACCAAAGTAAAGCCAGCCGGACCAGACATGGCTAGGGTGGACCAGACCAAGCATGACTAGAACAGACCAGACCAAACAAGACCAGACTGGAACAGACCAGAGCAGACTGGCCAAGAACAGACCAGAACAGACCAGGACAGACAAGACCAGGCTGAAACAGACCGGAACAGACACAAGCGACTAGACCAGACCATAACAGGCAGAAGCGACCAAACCTGGCCGGATCGGCCGGCCGCCTGATACCGATTCGTGCTCGGGTACTGCGGACCTCCCGCCGGGCGCCCCAGGCCCGGTCCAACAGAACCGCCCACGGACCCTGCCGGCCGGCCGGCGGGCCGAGCCTGTATCCCTGCATCTGCTGATGACGTGGCTGGCATTGAACCGGCCCGACGGCCGCATTGCAGAGGATTTCTCTGGATCTGAAGATAAGGGCCGGCTGAGGTGGCTCGGGCTGCTCCTGGGCGGCACGGCCGGACGGTCGCCGCTAGACCGAACGGGCCTGCATCCAAATGAACCCAAGCTGTCTTTTCCAGCTTCGGGGCGGAGTGTTATTCCAGCGCATGTCTTGCGTGGGCGTGGTTTTCCTGACAAACGATATAAAACGGGAAAACTTTCTCCCGGACAATAGTTGCCCAGATGGAACACAGGCCTCTCGCGGCGGAAGTAATAAATTCCACGCTTTGTCCATCTACGTCTGCGCCGCCTCCACTGCGCGCGGCATCTCACGCACAATCACTGTTCCCTCTCCTAAATTCTGGGCATGGAAGCCGGAGCTGACCGGGGTGGCCAGCTGGCCGCCGCCGGCGGAGATGAGCCGCCGATAACCCGCCGCGCCCGATCGCGGGGCCCCGATAACCTTGTGCACCTGTTGGCCGGACCGGGGTCTGGCCGCTGCGCGCGGTCTGCAGCCGAGAGGCTGCCGGGAGGGGAGAAGCCGGAGGAGGATGTGTGGCCAAGGTCGTGCTTCGCCGGGCTCTGAGTTCTGTGGAATGTATTGGGATGTGTTGTTGTGTGTGCGGGCCTGCGAGCCGTAGCTGGGCAGACTCTGTGTATTCAGAATGTTTGGTAGCTTGCTCGCACACATGATCTCAATGGCGACGATTAGGTAAAATCTAATACCTTCACAGGCTATTCCACCGTCTCTTGTGCCTTATTAAAGAACCTGCCAGGATCATTCGATGGTCTTGGTTTCCTTGGCTCAGTCTCATTGGTGACCTACTGACCAGTTGCTGAATGTGTGCACATTGCTGTACAGAATCGTATGAATTGCACAGTGGCTTTCACATATACGTTCAATTCGAAATACTTGCCTCGGCATCCTGTCGTCCCAGACTCTCCTCCCGTAATCCAATGTTCAAAGAGCACCGTCCGCGCGTGATACAATGCCGCTCCTGCCTCCTGCCCGTGAGGTCATGCTATGTAGCGCCTGTTTCCCCGAGCGGTACCGAGCGCCGCTGCACGTCCGTAATGCAGGTGAACGGGCCTGTGACGTCACACCCTGTCCTCCGCAGACATCGACGAGTGCCAGGATCCGGCGCTTGCAGCCCGGTGCGTCCCCAACGCCGAGTGCTGCAACCTGCCGGCCCACTACGTCTGCAAGTGCCTAGACGGCTTCGAAGGCAAAGGCGACGAGGAGTGCCGAGGTACGTCCTGCTCCCCCCCCCCCCCGTGCCGGTGCCGGCGGTGGCGCGACGCGTCCATACCGGGCCGTCGCGTGACGGCGCCGACTTTTGCGGCGCCCTGGTTTGTCGGCCAATTTTTGCGGATCCTCATGGCGCATGGGCCGACCGAGATCCGGGAGGAGTGGGGCCGCTGCTGCGCGAGGAGTGCCGGGCACGCGACACCAGCGACGGCGTCGCCGCGCGCCGCCCACGGGCGTCATTGTCCGCGGTGGCGGCCGGCGTTTCACCCGGACCCGGCGGGGCCGCGGGCTCCGGCTGGCCGGCCGCCGTGCCCGCCGGCTCCCCAGCTGACCGGCCGGGGTCGGGGCGCCGTCGCGCCGGCCGAACCCGGCTCTGTTGCACGACCGGCCGCCATCTTGCCGCGCCGGGTGAACGACACGGCGTGCGAGTCCGCCCCGTCATGGGTTCGCCCGCCCGTGCCGCTCCGGGCCACCGAAACCGTCCCCGAGCGGAGGCAGAGGGCTCGGTCGCCGGCGAAACGCAGCGCTCGGCGCGGCTTCCCGCGCAGAAATCGCCACTTGTTTTCACTTTTGTTTGTGCGCGCGCGCGCCGGTGTGTGTTTTGACTTGGCGTCGGCCTGCCGGCGGCGCTCGGTGCGTCAGCTCGGTTGCGCCGCCGGCGCTGGTTAAGCAGCCGATGGCCATTTGTCGGGCGCGATCAGTCATCGCCGCCTGTCATTAGCCGGCGAGCGTGTCGCGTGTCGGTTACCCGCCATTTTCCGCGGCGCTCGGCGGCGGCCCGCCACCGTCGGCCAAGGGGGCGCGGGAACGCCCGACCGAAAGTGCAAATACGCTTGGGAAGGGTGGAGCTATTTGGACAGTGGAAGGGGTTAACGCGCCGAGCCGGCTTGATGGGGCCGACAGCCGACGCCGCGTGGGATGCCTTTGTCCGTGGCGGCGGAGCGCCAGTCTTTGACCTCCGGTCACGCCCTCGCAAAGCCTCGCGGCGCGGAATCGACGCAATTTTCTTCATGGTCGATGCGGCGACAAAGCGGCATCCGTAACGCCATTCTCGGCGCCGGCGAGCGGTGCCGGGCGGCCGACAAGTGCAGAGCGTTGGCCCCAACGGCGCCGCTGCAGCGGTCCAGTCGAGGCTCGCGCACAATGGCGCTCACGCCGGTAAAAATGGCAGATGGGCTCGACCGATTAACCGCGCAGAAGCCGCGTCACGTCTTGGCTACCGCCAGCGTTACCCCGCGCACCGGGCCTGCACTTTTGCGGGCATCGCGCCCTCCGCCGAAAAAAGTGCCAGACACATAACTCAACAAACGCGCGGGCGTCAATAACTTATGACTGCGGGCCGGCCGACCAACACTTTACCGCCGCGTTTTTGCGCGGCCCGCCGGCGATACCATTCATTTGGGGCTGGGCGGCCGTCCGAAGCCATGAAGCCGGGCAAATAAAGCCCCAGTAAAAACACGTGAGGCGTGGCGTCTTCTTCTCCTTCTTGCCGCCGCGGTCGCCGGCAACGGAGCGTGCTTCCTACGCTCACCGGCCGCCGACGCCGTCACAGCGCGTGCGCGGCGCGCCGCGGACCTCGCCTTCTGCGGACATCTCTGGCGCGGGCGGGTCCGAGATGTCTCGGAGCACCACTTCCGAGTGCCGTTTTTCTCCCGCCGGTCGGCCGGCACCGGCCATTGCCCAGGCGCACCGAAAACCGGCCAGGCGAGACCAACAATGTAAACTAACCCGGAACAGCGGCGCTGAGACGAGCGCGCCGTAAACGTCCGCGTCGCACCGAGAGCGCCGCCGCGGGCTGGACCCGATACCGCTCTCCGCGCCGGCCGATGCTAATGGCAACGACGAGCTCTCGGCCACCGCTGCCGGCTGCTAATGGACGCGTGTAATTACGCGTCCATCGGATATGGGGCGGTTTTTGTCCGCGGCTGCCGCGCGCTCTGTCCCGGGTAACGACCCCGGCAAGAGGCACCCGGAACCGCCGCCGCCGCCGCCGCCGCCGCCAGGAATTCTCGGCGTCATCCACCGGCGCTGGCGCCGCTCACGCACAGCGCACTCCGTCATCAGCGCCGCTGACGCGGCCCGTTTTTGCGCGCGGTTCGCCCCGAACGGCGGCGGCACGCAGCGGCGCGTCGTTTATGGCGTCAACGGCGGCGCGGGGTGCAGTTTGCGCGCCAGGGTGTTCTCATGGCGCGACGGCGGACGAGCGGGCTGTTCGGCGAGCGCGTCCAGGCGCGGCCAAACGGGGAGACGTGCTCAGCGGGCGCGGCGGACGCCGTCAGCCGGCCGCTGACGAATGGTCGCGATCCGCCGGGCGGCGGCGGTGGAGGCTTTTCTCGGGCCGCTGCCCGGGCAGATTAGGCCGCCTCGTCGAGAAATGGCCGCCGCCGGCTGCCTGCCGCTCGCCCGGTCGGCACGCGCGGCCGTTCGCCCCTGCGCCTCTCACACGTGCCGCCTCGTGCCCACAGATATTGACGAGTGCGAGAAGCCTGACGCGTGCGGAGCCAACGCCCTCTGCCAGAACTACCCCGGCAACTTTACCTGCACCTGTCCCGAGGGCTACGTGGGCAGCGCCTATGACGGGGTGAGTACGACTTTCCCACTAATTTCACAGTCGGAGCCACGGTCTTTCACGCCGGCTCCGGCCCTTTCAGAGCCGTGTCGCGGTTTAATTGGCGTGTCGGCGCGGTGCAGGTCGGGGCGGTCAGCCCTCCGCATCGGCGAACCCCCTTCCGGCGGGCGTCACGGCAAACGTGACTGAGTGTCAGCTCCTCCCGAAGTGCCAGACGAGATCAACGGGCACTGCAGGCTCGCCCGGCCGCCTCCCGTTCGGCTTCGGTGCATTCCGGCGTCGCAGTGGCCGTGAACGACCATAAAAACTGGGTTTCACTGCGAGAAAAACGTTATCGGCCATAGCTGGGCTTGACTTATTGCATGCGGCCGAGAAGCAGCCGGTGCCGGAGCTGACACGCCGGCCGTCGGTGGGCGTCCCCACCGGCGCCCGCCCGCTCTGGGAGCCAGCCAGGTCACACGTGAATGTCACGCGCGCACCTCCTGCAGGCTCGAAACCCAACCGAGGTGTTCTCACGCCTCGGGCCGGTCGCTTTGACTGGGCGGAAAGGCAACGTCCGGAGGAGGAAATATATGCAGGTCAGGGTGGGAACTCACAGAGAAATGCCCGCCGCTCGAAATGCCGAAAGGCACCGCCACGTTCGCCTGCCGTTGAGTGGCTGGGCCTGGACCTGCGCTGCCGATCTCACTGACTCGTCCTGCCCTACACGACAGTGTGTCGACTACAACGAGTGCGACGAGCGGGGAATGTGCGGTCCGAACGCCCGCTGCCGCAACACGGCTGGCGGCCACGAGTGCTTGTGCGACGCCGGCTTCATCGGTGATCCGTACTCGCGCGCCGGGTGCCTCGACCTCAACGAGTGCACCAACGAGCCGTGCGGCGCTGGCGCGCTCTGCAAGAACACGCCCGGCAACTACACCTGCCTCTGCCCGCCCGGCTACCGCGGCGACCCGCTGGTGCAGTGTCAGGGTGAGTGGCCGCGCGCCGCGCCCGCCGTCCGCGATCGTTGTGCCTGTGATTAACCGGCGAAACGGTCCCGTAACTCGGAGACTAATGACACCCGGCCAGGGTCGGGGTCGGCCGCCGTGTAACAAGGCTTCTCCGTAACCCGCGCCGCGGGCGCGTCACCGGACGGGCCGCCGGTCGCCCCGCGTCCAGTTCACCCCGTGAGTGCGCTCGTACTGACCACTGGCAGGTGTGGTGCTGCATGCGTCACGGCGATGACACGTGTGGAATGTGACGGCATATCCCACTGACTACTGATGTCTCACCGCCCCGTCATGCACCTAACTCTAATGTACATACATGCGGTCCCAGATGTCGCCCCCTGCCCGGCTAACCCCTAACTTATGCGCCAAGACCGGGACGAGTGCCTGGAGGGCGCCGCCGGTCCCGAAGACGCGGCCGTCAACGCCAGCGCGCTGTGCGGCGCCGGCGCCATGTGCATGAACACGCTCGGGAGCTTCAAGTGCGCGTGTCCGCCCGGGTACACGGGCGACGCGGCGGCGGCCTGCTCGGACGTCAACGAGTGCGGCCGCCCGATGACGTGCGGCATCAACGCCGCCTGCCGGAACGAGCCGGGCGGCTTCGCCTGCTTCTGCCCGGAGGGCTTCACCGGCGACGGTCGCGTCGTCTGCGAGAGTTAGTGACGTCACGGCGCGCCTGGCGCTCCCGTCTTCCGGCGCCTGTCGCTCCTGCGAGGTCACGCCGGGCCACCGCCGGTGTCGCCGGCCGTGACCCGCCCGCCGCCGCCGGGCCCTTCGCGCGCTCTGTTAGCTAGCGTAGTAGAAATCTTCCGGCGACTGTTTTGCAGCTCCGAGACGCCCGGCGCCAGCTGACTGCCAAGCCAGCTGAGCTGTCGGCGGCGACTGCAAGACGCTGCGGGCGTCCGGCACTCCCACGCCGGCTAATTGGCCCGACTTTCTCCGTGCGAGTCGCTTGCCAGGCGCCTGCTCTTGTCCCGCTCTGCCTGCCGAGAGGCGACGACCTCGCAACTCGGCCGCCTGGCTTTGTTCGCGAGAGTGCAGCACTGGAATGCCCCGCCCGCGGAGGGTGCACGGACGGAGCGGAGCAGCGACCGCCGACGGGCGCCCGACCTCTGACCTTCCGACGCGCCCGCTCGGCGCCGCTTCTCTGTCCGCCTCAGCGAGCTAGCGTCTAGATGTCCGCCGTTCATGATGCATGTCGTTAATTAAAGTATCTAGCCATTACGTTATTAGGCTGTGGTGTGGTCGTCAGTCTCAGCGAGCGTCCTCCGCGGGCTAGCCTGCGGCGCAATTGGATGACGAGAGACGAGCAGCTGCCACGTTTGAAAGCGATTAACCAATCAGAGCACAGCAGAACGGCCAGTAACGCGATCCGTTTTGCAGACGTCGACGAATGCTCCAAGAACCCCTGCGGAAGCAACGCTCGGTGCATTGACACCGTAGGCAGTTACACGTGCCAGTGCCTGCCCGACTATACCGGAGACCCTTACAAGGGCTGCACGGGTAAGCGTGACAGCGGAACGGACAGGGCAGGCCATGCCCAGTGCCGCGGTTTGCAGCGAACCGCAGCCATCTGCCGTCACGGGATGCTCTTGCGCGAAATGAGAGTGCTTCGATTTGAATTAACCATAACTGTTTAAAACTAGCTGGCCATCAAGTGTCATTGTCCCCTGTAAATTGGCTCCACCTCGTTTAAATTGACGTCGACCTGAGTGGCCTCGTGGACGTTTGGCCCGGCGCGTCTGAGCCGGCGGTCACGACTGGTGGGCGCCGGTCGCAGACGCCGGGCGCTTAGTCGACGAACTCGGGTCCGGCCGGAACGTGTCCGTTCGGACCGGTTGGTCCTGGTCCTGACCAGCAGGTCCGCGGCGCCGATCGGTCCGGCGATACCGGCTCGCTCGGCTCCGAGAGAAATCGAGCCGGCCTGCCAGTCAAGTATGACGGCCGACCGCCATGCGCCTCCCGGCCCCCAAAATTGAAAACGCCCCGGCGAGGGCAGCCGTGGCGCCTCACGCCCGCCGCGCCACATTCAGTGCCAATCACTCACGCGCCGCCGCGTCGCACGGCACGGCGGCATCGCCATGCAACCGTCAGTGGCCGGCGGGCGTGGGCGCGCGCCGGCGCGCCGAGGGCGGCCGCGGTGCCGGCCCGTTCCTGGCGTCCACCCGTCCCCAATTGGCGCGCGCCCGAGCCGCGCGGCCGCCTCCGCCGGCCGGAAAGTGACGCCCCTTTCCTTGCAGACATCAACGAATGCGTCGTGTACGGAAAGCCGTGCGGTGACTACGCCATCTGCAAGAACACCGTGCCGGGCTACTCGTGCCGCTGCCCGCAGGGCTACCAGGCCAACCCGACGCCGGCGGTGGCGTGCGAGCAGGTGGGCGCCGCTGGGCTAACGGCTCTGCCCGTGCGGTCCGATGTTATCGCCGCGATGACCGCGGCGGGGTGACGCGAGAAGGTCAGGTGTCCGGCGCCGCGTGTGTTGGGTCAGCGGGCGGTAACTCGCGGCAGGGAAGGGGAGGGCGCGGCTGGTGCGACCTGCAAGGTCAGGTGTCAGGTCGGCGGAGTGCAGCTCGCATTCAGAGGAGGGCGTGGTCAGTCGACGAAAGAAGGCCAGGCGTATCTGAGGGACCGTCCGTCATGGTGGACCTGATCGAGTGGAAGGATTGGTAACTGGGTGTTAAGTAAGTGGTCGGATGGGTTAGGGCTACCGCTTCCGTACCTCTAGATACAGAGGGGAGACTGTGGCGCAGTAGCTGTACTGCGCGTCTGGGAAACCGGAGGTACTAGGTTCAATTCCCTCACGCTGGCTGCCAAGATGAGAGGCAGGCGACTCCACATGGCCACAGCCGCTACGTGCACCATAAAGCCCCAGCGACACACCCAGGATAGACGGGATCAATGTAGCGGTTCCACGGATGGAATAATTGTTCGGATGAATGTCGTCCTCGTCTGGTGTCCGAACAATTATTCCATCCGAGACACTAATTCCACGTCTCAATCCTTTCGCAAAACTGTAACGGTACCACCTGGCCGACAAAAGTCAGTCTTTTTTGGCGGTTTGTACGTTGTCGACGCGGGCATCTCTAGAGCCATTTGTGGTCTGAATGGCCTCCGGCTGCTGCTGACTCACGACAGCAATTTAACTAGCTCCGAATGGGGGTGTAAAAAAGGAGACGGGCGCCTGACTTCAGAGTGACAGATCAGGCCATTTTGGGTGCTGGTCCTTAACGATATGCTGGGGCAAATAAGCCTGCGAGCCTGTCGCGATGGGCGCTGGCTCCTCCGATTTAAGTCCTGGCGGTCGCTGATGTCCTCGCTCCTCCTGACGGTCGCTGACGTCCTCGCTCCTCCCACCTCAGGTGGACGTGAAAATCCTCTGCCAATCGAACTTCGACTGCGTCAACAACGCCGAGTGCAAGGAGGGCCAATGCTTCTGCAAGAGCGGCTTCCAGGAGCGCGGCACCACCTGCGTCGACGTGGACGAGTGCGCCAAGAACCCGTGCGGCGCCAACTCGCACTGCGTCAACCTGCCCGGCAGCTACCGCTGCGAGTGCGACGCCGGGTTCGTCGGCAACCCGCCGAACACGCCCTGCCGCGGTAAGTCGGCCGACCCTGACCCGGCCCGTCCGCAGATATGGCCGCGCCGACAGCACGAGCTTTCACGGCGCAGCGCCCGTGCGCCTCTGCGCCTGGTAACTGCGCCGCGCCGCTAATGGTGCAGTAGACAGATTCAGCTGTCAGGGAACATCTCAGCTGCTGCGAAGGAGCGGCGCCGTCTGCCACGTCATGACGTCATCAGCTGTCATTTCGTTCGACGGTACCGACTGTCTCACGAGGACGCCGCTGTCACACTGTGAAGTCATCGTCGGGCATGTCATGCCGTCGCCTTCTGTCATGCCGCACGACAGTACCATCTGTCATGTCGAAACGTCACCTTCTGCCACGTCACATTGCGTGACATGACGTGGCTCGTGACCCGTGTACGGGAGGCGGGACGCGGGCGAGCGGGAGGGCGGGGGCGGCAGCCGACTGGGGCGTGTGCCGGTCACTCGGGCGCCCGCTCTGGGCGCGGCGGCCAGTGAAAGTCGGTCGACCGGCGCGCGGCCGCCGCCGACACACTGGTCCAGAAAGAGCGGCGCGCGCCGCCTCCATGCCGGCGGTGACCCTGACCGGCACGGCCCCGCGGGCACCCAGCTGACCCGGCCGGCCGCCCGCAGACGAGGACGAGTGCGCGACAGAGCCGCCCCCCTGCGGCCGCCGCGCGCTCTGTACTAACACGCTGGGCGGGTACCGGTGCGAGTGTTCGCCCCCGCTGCGGGGCGACCCGCTCGTGGCCTGCTTCTGTGAGTGGCGCGTCACGACAGTCACGGCCGGCTCACGGCCAACTCACGGCACGCACCGGGGAGAGGCGGCGAATCACGAATCACGAACGAGTCAGATCGGACGATCGATGGTGACGCTTCTTCTGACGGACGCTGGCGGGCCTCGTCTGTAAAAACCGCTTCTTCGACGGCTCTTGCCTTCTCCTGTCAAGCGTGTGTAATTCCATACGACGCGGACGGGCTGTTTGAAATGACGCGCGCGTGCCGCCGATGAGCGGCGGGAATGCGGCCGAACCTCAGTCGCGTCACAACTTGGCTGCCGGTGGTGGGCTCCTAATGCAACCTGTCTAAACAAGTGAGCAGTAGCCTTGAGGTTGAATGTCGCGGACGTGTTTAAACTGATGTTTGCTATTTATACCCCGGAGGTGATAAACTTCAGCGATAAACTATCGTACTTTGGCAGCTTCGTGCCACCTAATCCGCGCGGACGGGATGTTTTCACTCGGCGCAGGGCGGTGCAAATCCGCATAGCCGAAAACAAAGTCCGCTTGGCTCCAGATTACGCACACCAGCCGGGCGTCGAGTGTAAACAACGCGAGCCGCGCTGCTTCGCGACCTCACTGAACCTGCTGACCCTGACGAGCATTTTGACCTTGACGGTACTTACCAGACCTGACCTGACCTGACCGGACGGCAAACCTCTTGCAGTACGAGACGCTAGGTGCGCTTGTGACAGCGTGCCTTGGAAGGCCATTCCTGTTGAATCCAGAGGTCGGATGTACGACCGTGGTAAGATATGCCTTCTACAGATCTATCTCTCGTTTTCTCTTGAGACTCTTCAATTTCGCTGGACGCCATGACGTTAGTTACGGACCGGCTGGGTCCAATCTCTTCTGTCCGGTTGGCCGCCCTTTCTTGTCATATCGACTCTCGAAATCTCCGCTCTTTTTCGGAGAAGCCTCACTTGCTGGCCCTTCTGCTGCATATCGTCAAATCTAAGTGTCATCGTCTGTGGAGGCAGCCTGACAACCTCTGACACAACTCTTGGGACTTTCTCTGGCGCACATGTGACGCTTCCGACCGCGCCGATCCATCCCCAGTTGTCACAACGCCTGTACGAACACCTGCCCCGTGCAGGCAACAGCACATCACGTGACACCCACCGGAACCGGGGCACCCTCACGCGGCGATAGGCCCCGGACTGTGCGAGTTAATCGCGAGCCCCTGATCGGGTGCGAGCGTGGCTCCGCACGCATGCGCCACGTACCGTCCGTGCCGGCACCGGATCAGACAAACGAGCACGGCAGCGGTCCTGATTGCTGGCGGTGTAGTGCACAGCCCCCAGCGGAACGCACAGACCGCGCGCGCACTCGTCACATCTCGAGTAGCCGGAATGCATACACACCGTATTCGTAACTCACCTGTAGCTAGACAGCACGGAAATTAGTTGTTGTTAAACCAGGTATTAGTCTTACGCATAAATACGATGACATATCAACATAAATAATCAATTGACAAACGTTAAACAGTCACCCGCTGACAGACTGCTAACACATCCTCACCTCCATTACGTCATGGACCCCTCCCCTGACCTGACCTGACCTGACCTGGCCCGACCCGCAGCACCCTGCGACGGCATGGAGTGCGGCCCGCATGCCAAGTGCAAACCGGATGGTCTGGAGGCGCTCTGCATCTGCGACGACGGCTGGACCTACGACCCGGTCAACGTCAAGGCCGGCTGCGTCGGTGAGTGACCTCAAGCGGCCTCGGGCGTTAGCCGCGCCCATGACGCCCAGAAGCGTCATGGGCGCGGCGGAGCCCACAGAACGATGAGATGAAGGTCGCATCGAGTGATGTGATCGTTCGCGCCTTACCGCGTTTTCAGATGACTGCCTGGAATGTCCGTGTCTTTGTTCTTGGTTCGAGGCCGTCGCAGTGAAACGGAGGGAATACCACCTGGTTTCGCTGTCAGACGCTGGTTCTGTGGCCTTTCCACCTCCACCTTTTGCTGACGTCACAGGCGCAGTTACGAATCTGGGCCATGTGACCGGCACTTTAAAAACCGATCCTTCGAATTCCGTTGCACGGCACATGGCAAAAAGGTGATCTCATGCTAATGGCAGACCTCTATCAATGCCTTTTTAAGTTTCACAGCAAAAACCTTCCAAGAGCAATGCCAATTAGAGGCTATTCAGATCCGCCACGTCGTTGTCGTACGAGGTCGAGTCGCGCTTCACTGCGTGTATACGGTTGCGGTTTATGTGTGTCCGCAGACGTGAACGAGTGCGACCCTCTGCTGGGCCCGGCGGGCATGTGCGGAGAGGGAGCGCTCTGCACCAACACGGCCGGCAGCTACAGCTGCGCGTGCAAACCCGGCTACTCGGGCAACCCGCAAGTCAAATGCATGGGTGAGTCATGAGTCATGAGTCATACGGACGTATCTTGTTCCGGGATTCGAATATTCGTGTTGGATTTTGTACGGTTGCTTAAGGCTTTCAAGGCGTGTTTGCGTGTTGCGAGATCAAAGAAAAAGCAGGGTTCAGAAAGAAGAGTATGTTGCGCCACGGCCCGGCCTCGCCACGCCATGATGAGTGCGGCCGCACGGGACGGCGAGTCTCTTCGCCACTGTCTCCGCCACAGTCTGACGTTTGGATTGTCCCGCGGCCGCGAATGCTCTCATTAACAACTGTATTGACGCTTTATAAAGCCTGTTGTCCTTGAGAATCGCCGATTCCGGCACGTTTCATATTGTTCTCGCCGGAGAACCTTTGTCGAACAATGCCGTCCGGCCGGAGCCAATTTCTATGCGTATCTTTCGTGGTCTTTGAACCGTACCGATTAACTTGAAAAGCCGGGACGGTCGCGACCACCAGCACGCTGACTGTCAGATGGTCCAGCACGCTCATGGTCCAGTTATCGCATTGCGGCCTGCGGTGTCCGTCGTGCCCATTATTGCACAGCTTCCAGCCCTTAAGCCCATTTCAAGGTGATGCAGGATTTTTGCACGAGCCCGGCTGGCTCGCCGGCGCTAGACGGAGCCGGGTGGCGCCGCCAGATTCATCCCCTGGTGGTTCTGGCACAAACCGGTCCGTTACCAAGGTCGAGAGGCAGGATCGGGCCGATAAAAAGTGAAATGATCTCTGCCATGCCCCTGAACGCTGAGCAGCAACGCCGTTCGTTCTCACCACGCTCGCTTGCGGACGTAGTCTGTCCGCAGCGAAGTCGAGCATACTGCGCATGCCGAACCATGTGCACCTTTCGCTGTCCGTCACCGCCTGGGTAACCGTCTCCCCCCCCCCCCTACCCCGCAGACATTGACGAGTGCCGAAGGCCGGGCGCCTGCGGCACGGGTGCCATCTGCGACAACACGCCCGGCTCCTACCAGTGCTCTTGCCCCGAGGGCACTGAGCCGGCGCCGGACGCGCAGACCCTCTGCGTGGCGCTCATCACGTGCGGCGGCGACGACGAGTGCCCCGGCAACGCCATGTGCGACGCGGTTGGCCAGTGCCTGTGCCCGGAGCCCAACGTCGGCAACGACTGCAGGCGTGAGTGCCCGGACCGGGCGGAGTGACGTCGGCGGTACCGTTACGGAGCGGTCGTCGGGCCGCCCGAACCCTGCCATGGGCGGCTTCTGGTCGCGGAATGTGGGCTGAGACCGATAAGAAGGTTGTTTTATTGACCGTTTTTCGTTGGTGGTTGCCGCGCCGATGACGCCCTTTTTGACTCACCGGCGCTGTTGACATTTTCGGGAATGATATATGACCCTGCCGCGGGCGAGACCCGCTGACCGCCCATCTCCGCCCCCAGATCCGTGCGAGGACGTGTTCTGCGGCCCCAACGCCGAGTGCATGCTGATCAACGGCCGACCCAAGTGCATGTGCGCCTCGGGCTTCACGGGCGGCGCGCTGTCGGGCTGCGTCGACATCGACGAGTGCGCCGCCTCGCCCTGCGCGCCGGGCGCCGTCTGCCGCGACGAGCGGGGCGGTTTCGTCTGCGAGTGCCCGAGCGGTGCCGAGGGCGACCCCTATCGGCAGGGCTGCCGCGAGCTCAAGGAGGCCGGCTGCGGACCCGACCAGCCCTGCCCGGCCAACGAGGAGTGCGTGCGTGACGACGGCGCCGCCGCCGACGTGTGCGTCTGCATGCGCGGCTACCGGCGCGACGGCGCCTTCGGCCGCTGCGTCGACATCGACGAGTGCACGGAGGATGCGGCGAGCGCGGCGCGCGTCTGCGGCGCCAATGCTATCTGCACCAACAAGCCGGGCACATACGACTGCAGTTGCCCGCCCGGCTTCGCCGGGAACGCCTTCTCCGGATGCGAGACGCGTGAGTGTGACTTTCGGACGGCGTCCGGGTGACGGGTTCGAAGAGAGGCGTGATAGAGGGAGCACTGGGACGCTCGGAGCAAGAGGCAGAAGCTGAAGGGATCGTCAGATGTTGCGGAACTGCGATTGTCACATTGTTTTAGATTGTTGGGCATTCCATCATCACGACTGACGTGTCTTTTGGCGGCCGCTGTAATCGTAGAGATCGTCGATAGTTAAATGTCAAAGCAGCCAAACCACCAGCCGCACTTCGTAACCGGTTTTGCGGGTACACCCCGCCATGCCCAGGCTCCTGTGACCTGACCTCGCACGCACCCCGTCGGCAGAGTCGTGCTCTGGCTCCGAGTGTGGCTGCCTGCCGCCCTTCAAGCTGACAGGAGGGGTGTGCGCCCTCGGCCGCTGCTCGGGCTCCACGGGCTGCGACCCGGGCGCCCGCTGCGTGCCGCTCGGCCGCCAGAGCTACTGCGTCTGCGACCAGGGCCACGTCGCTCAGCCGGACGGCACCTGCAGGGGTGAGTCAGCCGGCTGGGCGGCGCCGACAGCGCCCGAGAGCGGGCGGACGGGGCCCGCAGATGACTCCGCTGATGTGACGACCTGCCGCCTCGTTGCGTCAGTGTTACGTCGTCGTGCTGCGGCTGCAAGGTGCAGTGTGCAGGGTCTTCCACTGAATAATGTTCGCCGTCGTAATGAATAATTCACAGCTGAAGCCGGCTCTGTATAGCGTTATGTGGGAGTCCAACCGAATCTCAGGGGCATTAACGGGGTGCTAGTTTACTGCATCGCCATCTTGCTGACTAGACCCACTGTGCAAACGTTGCCCATCCCACCCGTCTGAGCCGCTGACTGACAGTCCCCTCCCCTCTCCCCTTCAGACGTCGACGAGTGCTCTGAGCCGACCCAGGACGGCCGGCCGGTCTGCGGCATCGGCGCCGACTGCGTCAACCTGGTGGGCTCGTTCGAGTGCGCCTGTCCCGAAGGCAGCTCCGGCAACCCGTACACTGGCTGCGTGGCCAACAAGGTGCAGTGCTCCAGGGACAGCGACTGCGGCCAGAACGAGAAGTGCGTGCAGCCGGGCCAGTGCGTGTGCCCGCCACCCTATTACTCCGACACCGAGGACGGCAACAAGTGCAAGAGTGAGTATCGCTCAGTGTCAAGGGACGGGCGTCTGGCTGTCTTTGCCGTCACACTTGCACGCCTCCTCTTCAGTGTTCTGTGGTAGTGTTGTGTCCTCATCGCAAGCTGGGTGAACCCAATTCACACGCTCAAATTATTTGTAGTTTCTGTGTGTTGTGGCTGAGAACGTACGTGTTTTCCCGTGTCGTGCCCGGAAACGTACGTGTTTTCTCGTCTTGTGCTGAGCGCACATTGCCCGAACCACGGCCGTCTCCCTTGTGTTGGCACGCGTCTCCCGTGCCGCGGCAGGCCCGTGCAAGCGGTTCCCGTGCGGCGTGAACGCCCGCTGCACCCCGTCGGACCCGCCCAAGTGCCTCTGCGACGCCGGCTACTCGGGCAACCCGTACGAGGGCTGCCGCGACCAGGACGAGTGCCGCGACAGCCCGTGCGCGTCCGGCGCCAGCTGCATCAACGAGAAGGGCAACTTCAAGTGCATCTGCCCGGCCGGCACCAAGGGCGACCCGTTCGTGGCCGGATGCACAGGCAGCGCCACCGGCTGCGCCTCGGACAACGACTGCGACGGCACGATGGCCTGCACGGACGGCCAGTGCCGCAACCCGTGCGAGCAGCTGCCGTGCGGCGCCAACGCCGTCTGCGAGCCGGAGGGCCATGCCGCCTGGTGCCGCTGCCTACCCGGCTTCAGCGAGGCTGCCGACACCGGCGACTGTGTCTCAGGTAGGTGGCGCTGCCGGCGGCAAGTAATCCGGGTAATGGGTGCAGTGCCGGAGTTCGTAGTCGTCATGGAGTGGTGGCGCCCATTTAGTTGGATTTATAGCTATCAGTGACACGTGCCTGCACTCATCGAAAAAGAACAGTCCATACCGAGGTAGTTCCACCTCATGGTACTGCACGCAACGGGGATTAAATAAGCAAATTAACTGCTGATTTCCTCATCCGTGCTACCTGCACAAAGCTCAGCTCTACCGTAACGTAACGTCACGCCGGGTCATCGGCATCACATATCGGCAGCATGCTCCACCGCACTCCGCGCAAGCACTCGCCGTTAATTGTCGTGTCTTTCCCGCGGCCGCAGAGTGTGACGGCTACCTGTGCGGCGACAACGCCGAGTGCTTGGTCTCCGCCGACGGGCCGACCTGCAAGTGCCTGGAGGGCTACAACGGCAACCCGTTCCCGGGCGGCACCTGCTCGCCGGACGTCTGCAGTCCGCAGAGTCCGTGCCAGGGCTCGGAGGTGTGCGTCTCGTCCCGCTGTAAGGTGCGCTGCGAGGGCGTCACCTGCGGCATCGGCGCCAAGTGCGACAAGAACACCAACAGGTGCACCTGCCTGCCCTTCCACGTCGGCAACCCGGACCTGCTCTGCGTGCCACGTGAGTGCTGGCGTGACGCCGCTGAGGTGGCTCGGCACCTGGCCCTCCCGGTTTTAAGGGTCGATGAAAGAATAGCGCTTCTCGCGTTGCCACACGCAAGCAGAAGATCCGATAGTCCGCTTGATTGATTGAAGTGGTGGAGTTTAAACGTCGTCAGCTTTTCTAGCCACCATGATGGACGTATAGCTCTTGACATGCCCTCAGTGGCCCTGCAATCGCGATTTTCTTGGTCGAACTCCCAGACGTGACCTCTAACCTGGCCTCTGCCTCTCCAGCCACGCTGCCGCCCGTCTGCGAACCGTCCTGCGCCAAGAACGCCCACTGCGAGTACGGCCAGCCCAACAAGTGCGTCTGCAACCGCGGCACATCGGGCAACCCGTACGAGGGCTGCGGCTCGTCGGCGCGCACGTGCAGCACGGCCTCGTGCGGCACGGGCGCCACGTGCAAGGAGGGCAGCGGCCGGGTGGACTGCGTGTGCCCGGCCGGCTACCGCGGCAACCCGTACGTCGAGTGCACCGACGTCGACGAGTGCATGGGCAACTCGTGCGGCATGAACGCACTCTGCATCAACACGCCGGGCTCGTACGACTGCCGCTGCCAGCAGGGCTTCCAGGGCAACCCGTTCCTGATGTGCATGCCGCCCAGCCCGGCAGAGGCCAGCTGCGAGAGCAACCCCGACAGCTGCCAGTGCTCTGCCAACAGCCCGTGTCCCGCCGGGTGAGTCGACGACGCGCAAACACCGTCCAGCAGGCGGCGTTTTGGTTCTTCATAAGGCTGACACCGTGACGTTTCTGATAGGGCGGCGTCCATGCTTTGAATGTTTTCCGCGGCAACATTTGTCGTATCGGTAAGCGTTGCCGTTTGATGTTGTTCATGTCCTTTGAATGAATGTTCGGTCTTGGTGTGAGTAGATCGATGCAGCATTTTGGTCAGGTATGTAGCAGCTTAAGGACGATCTTCACGCCTGCTCCTGTTGGAAAAGCGAGCCTTCAAGCTGTCACATCACGTACCACATGGAGATGACAATGCTTTCTCTGCGTGTGCCCCGCCTGCACGCCGGGCCGTGACTGGAACGCCCTCTCGCCGCCACAGGTATGACTGCCGGAAGAGCAAGTGCGTGAACCTGTGTGCCGGGGTGGCGTGCGGACCGAACGCCGTCTGCAGCGGCGGCAAGTGCTCATGCCGCGCCGGCTACGAGGGCGACGCGTCCGATCCCAAGGTGGGCTGCTCCACCGGCGGCTGCCAGAACGACCTGTACTGCGGCGACGACCAGATTTGCCTGCCGTCGGCTGGTGGCCGACGCCAATGCGTCAGCGCCTGCTCCAAGCTCACCTGCGGCCCCAACGCCTTCTGCGTCACCGAGAACCACCGCTCCAGCTGTCTCTGCAAGGACGGCTTCCGAGGCGACCCGAGCAACCCGCGCGTCGGCTGCCAGCCAGCCACGCGCACCGACGAGTGCTCCACGTCCCGTGACTGCGGCAAGGACCGCCCCGTCTGCACGCTGGACGAGAGCGGCCGTAAGCAGTGCCTAAACCCGTGCGACACCTTCTTCTGCGACCAGAACGAGGAGTGCTCGGTGCGGCGCTCGCGGCCCGTCTGCCTCTGCCGCGACGGCTTCAAGAAGAACCCGCGCACCAACCGCTGCGAGAGCCCGGGCGTGCCCGAATGCGCCACCGCCGACGACTGCCCCGGCACGCACGCCTGCCTCGCCGACGCGCTCAACGTCAAGAAGTGCGTGTCCGTCTGCGACCGCACGCAGTGCTCACCCAACTCGCAGTGCGTGGCGGCGCAGCACCGCGCCACCTGTCGCTGCGTCGAGGGCTTCTACGGCAACCCCAACGACCGCGCCGGCTGCAAGCCGCTGTCGCGCAACTCGTGCTCCTCGGACGCCGAGTGTCCGGAGACGGAGGCGTGCCGCGCAGGCGACGGCGGCCGCCAGTGCCTAGCCGTCTGCTCCGGCCTGCGCTGCGGCCCCGGCGCCGTCTGCGTCGCCAACAACCACGTGGCGCAGTGCCAGTGCCCGCCGGGCAAGTACGTGGGCGCGCCGGCCGACCCGGAGGAGGGCTGCCGCGCCGTCGGCTGTCTCACCAACGGCGACTGCCTGGCCACGCAGGCCTGCAACCGGCTCGACTACCAGTGCTACGATGTGTGCCGCGACGCGTGCGGCGCGCACGCCGTCTGCCTGGCCGAGAACCACAACCCGGTCTGCTCGTGTCGGCCCGGCTACACGCCCAACCCGAGCGCCGAGACCGACTGCGCCGCCGTCGATCTGTGCGCGGCGCGCCCGTGCCACTCGTCGGCCAAGTGCGTCACCACGCCCGGCTCGTTCTCCTGCTTCTGCCCGCCGCGCCAGATCGGCGACCCGTACACCACCGGCTGCCACCCGGAGGGCGAGTGCCCTGGCGGCGAGGCCGACTGCCCGCCCGACTCGGTCTGCCTGCGCGGCCGCTGCGCCGACCCGTGCCAGGGCGCCTGCGGCAGCAACGCCCAGTGCAACGTGGTCGAGCGGCGCGCCCAGTGCAGCTGCCCAGCCGGCTTCCAGGGCAGCCCGGAGCCGGCGCAGGGCTGCGTGCGCACCGTCACCGGCTGCAGCAGCGACGCCCAGTGTCAGGACGACGTCTGCATCAGCGGCCAGTGCCGAGGTGAGTGGTGTCAGGCTCTAGTCCGGCCACGGCCTGCGACTGCGTCCTTGGCAGGCTGTGCACGTTGTCGCTGATTGCAGTACGTGACGCTAATGCAGATCCATCAGTGTAGCACTATATTTGGAGCCTCGACTTACTTAAGTACCCCCGTTTTCATCGCGCGACTTCCCGTTAATCCTGTGAGCCACGCAAATGCCCACCTAACATCATTCTTCCTCCATCTCACCATCAATCGTCGTGAACGCTGTCGCTGACGTCGGTGCGCCTCGTTCCAGCTGTGTGCTCCCGCACGAGCGAGTGCGCCAGCGGTGAGCGCTGCGTACGCAACCGCTGCATGCTGCCGTGCCTGTCGAGCACGCAGTGCGCCAGCGGTCAGACGTGCGACGACGGCTTCTGTGCGCTCGGCTGCCGCGCCAACGGCGACTGTCAGCCCGAACACGCCTGCGTCAACAACAAGTGCCAAGGTGGGTGGTCGCGGCGAAGCCGTGCTCGGTGTGTGGTGGGTTGGGAGCGGAACAAACATCCCAAAACACTCCATCTGATTCGGACTAACTGCGACGGTCGGAATCATGTTTCGCTGCTTCTTAGTTGACCTTCGTTGCCTTGCATTTTGACCGAATGTCAGTAACAATCGATGCGCCTTTCTGTTCGGGAACAACCATCGTCTCATCACGGTTAATGGCAAGCGGACGTGTTCGTTTCAGACCCCTGCAAGCGCGACGGCTCGTGCGGCGTGAACGCCCTCTGCACCGTAAAGGAGCACCGTCCGCAGTGCGCCTGCCCGGCCGGCTTCACGCCGAACCCGACGCCGCAGCAGGGCTGCACGCGAACGCCGACCGTCTGCGCGGGCGACGACGATGCCTGCCCGGACAAGATGCGCTGCCGCGATGGCAGCTGTCGCCACGGCTGCCGCGGTAGCGCCGACTGCGCGCAGGGCGAGCGCTGCACCAACTTCGTGTGCGCCACCGTCTGCTACCAGGACAACAACTGCCTGTACGGCGAGGTGTGCGTGGACGGCACGTGCCGGCTGGGCTGCCGCTCGGCCGCCGACTGCGCCTCCGGCCAGGCCTGCGACGGCGGGCAGTGCGCCTGCGCGCCCGGCTACGTCGCCGACGACGACGGCTGCGAGGACGCCGACGAGTGCGAGAACCGGCCCTGCCACCCGACCGCCACCTGCATCAACCAGCCCGGCTCGTTTAAGTGCGTCTGCCCCGAGGGCACGGCCGGCAACCCGCTGACCAGCCCCGGCTGCGGCTCGCCGAGCGAGTGCTCCGCCAACGGCGACTGCGCCGGTAACCTGGCGTGCGCCAAGGACACGGTGGGCGGCCGGCGCTGCGCCGACCCGTGCCTGGACGCCACGTGCGGCGCCGGTGCCGAGTGCCGCGTGCTCGACCACAAGCCGGTGTGCCGGTGCCCGTCCGGCTACCAGGGCGACCCGACCGACCGCGCCGTCGGCTGCTTCCGGCCGCAGTGCAGCGTCGACAACGACTGCCCGGCCGACCGGCTCTGCGACAGCTTCCGCTGCGTCAACCCGTGCGACTTCGTTCGCTCGTGCGGCCGCGGCAGCTGCCAGGTGCAAGACCACCAGGCCGTCTGCTTCTGCAGCGCTGGCTTCGAGCAGGGCGCCGACGGGCTGTGCGTGGACGTGGACGAGTGCCGCGCCAGCCCGTGCCACCGCTCGGCTGAGTGCCGCAACGCGCTCGGCTCCTTCAGCTGCGTCTGCCCGCCCGGCACGGTCGGCGAGCCGGCCAGCCAGGGCTGCCGGCGCCCGGGCGACTGCGAGGCCGACTCCGACTGCCCCAGCTCCGCCGCCTGCCGGCTGGGCCGCTGCCAGAACCCGTGCGAGGCGGCCGCCGCCTGCGGCCCGGCCGCCGACTGCGTGACGGTGGCGCACCGGCCGCAGTGCAGCTGCCCGCCGCAGACGTCCGGCGACCCGCTCACCGGCTGCTCGCCGCTGGAGTGTGTCGACAGCGCCGACTGCGCCGCCGCCCAGACCTGCGTCCGCAACAAGTGCGTCGACCCGTGCGGCGCCTTCTCCGAGTGCGGCGCCAACGCCGACTGCAGCGTGGTCGACCACCAGTCGCTGTGCGCGTGCAGGCCTGGCTTCACCGGCGAGCCGCGCCTCGGCTGCACGCGCGTGCTGCGCTGCGGCGGCGACGAGCAGTGCCCACAGGGCCAGCGCTGCAGCGGCGGCGTCTGCTCCGAAGCGTGCGGCTCACCCCGCGACTGCCTGCAGGGCCAGCTCTGCCTGGAGGGCACGTGCCGACCCACGTGCAGCGCCGACGCGCAGTGTCCGCAGTACCACAGCTGCGTCAACCAGATCTGCGTGGAGGAGGTGCGCTGCCGCGCCGACACCGACTGCGGCGCGCAGGAGCGCTGCCGCGCCAACGCCTATGGCCAGGCCGAGTGCCAGGACGTGTGCAACGGGCTGGTGCTCTGCGGCAGGAACGCCGAGTGCGTGGCCAAGGACCGCCAGGTGGTGTGCGTCTGCAAGCAGGGCTTCCGCGGCGACCCGCAGGACGAGAAGACCGGCTGCCGGCCGATCGAGTGCGAGAGCAACACCGAATGCCAGCAGAACCAGATCTGCACGGACTACAAGTGTGTCGGTGAGTGGACCAACACTGGGCTGGAGGCAGGCTGAACTTCAGCCCCGCCAGTCCTTTACGCTCGGCTGCATACTGTGGTTGGCTTTCCGAGTCATGTTCATCTTGGCATTTTCCCAACGCAGTTGTTTGCATTATTTTGCGTCTGAAAACGCAAGCCTATTGGATGAAAGATCAACGCTGTTTCCGTGCGGGCTTGATTTTTCGTGTGTCGTGGGTTCGGCAGTCAACATTATTCACCCGTGAATTACCCACTGACCCTGCGCGCCCTCCTTTCAGTGGCCTGCAAGGTGAACAACCCGTGCGGCGAGAACGCGCTTTGCCTGTCGGAGGACTACCGCGCCGTCTGCTTCTGCCGCGAAGGCTACGTCGGCGACCCGCTGACGCGCTGCGAGCCAATCGACTTCTGCAAGTCGAGCCCGTGCGCCAGCGGCGCGCGCTGCGAGAATCGGCCCGGCTCGTTCAAGTGCCTCTGCCCGCTGGGCTCCATAGGAGACCCGTACGAGCTGGGCTGCACACCGGCCGTTGAGTGCAAGCTGAACGGCGACTGCCCAGGCTCGGCCGTCTGCAGCGAGGAGGGCGGCGAGCCCAAGTGCGTCGACGTCTGCGAGACGGCCCGCTGCGGACCCAACGCCGACTGCAAGGCCACCAACCACAAGGCGTTCTGCGTCTGCCGCCAGGGCTACGACGGCAAGCCGGACGACGTGCTGCAGGGCTGCCGACCCAGTGAGTGGCCGTTCACATCAACTGTAGCGTCTTCACTTTGGCTCGATCAAAGCTACACATGTCGTTAGCTAGAAAACTGCGCTATGTACCATTCGCTGACGACGTTTTAACTAGGGTCAGTTTGTTATGTCTTGTCGATTCGCGGATATGGAACTTCAGCCTTAGTCAAGGAGACTCCCCGGCCAGCCTCGTCACCGCTCACCGGCGTGACTCTTCTCTTCCACAGTCCCGGTCAAGTGCACCTACAACCAGGACTGCCCGCGCAACACCGTGTGCGACGGCGGCCTCTGCCGGCCGCCGTGCGCCACCAGCTCCGAGTGCGCCCTGACCGAGTCGTGCGCGCGCGGCCAGTGCACCAACCCGTGCAGCTCGGACGCCGCGTGCGGCCTCAACGCCGACTGTCAGATGCTGCGGCACGAGAAGCAGTGCTCCTGCCCGCCGGGCTACACAGGCTCGCCGGAGGTCGAGTGCGTGCGCATCCCAGTGCCGTGCCAGAGCAACCTGGACTGCGGCCGCGGCTTCTTCTGTCAGGAGAGCGTCTGCAGGAGCGCCTGCCAGGCCGACGCCGACTGCGCCCTCAACGAGAAGTGCGTCGAGGGATCCTGCATGTGTAAGTGCCGACCATCCCGAGGATTGGCGCTGTGTTGTCGGGAAGGCGGACGTGTTCTTAGACGCTGAGACCGGCGAATGAGTGATTGATTCCAGTGTGGTTTTTACGGCACGATGCTGAACATGAGAGGATTTTCTAGACCGCACTGGTCTTTGGCGGTCCAGAGGGCTTCGCTGACCTGCATTTCCTTCTCTCACCAGTGACCTGCCGCGTGGACAACGACTGCTTTCTGGGTCACGTGTGTCCGAGCAACCTGTGCGTCATCGGATGTCGGGCCAACACCGACTGTAACTCGGGAGAGGCCTGCCTTAACAGCCGCTGCACCAACCCGTGCGACGCCAGCGCCGTCTGCGGACCCAACGCCAAGTGCGAGGTGGGTGACCTGAACATCGGACATGACCGCCGCTACGGCCCCCAGCTCGGAGCGTGCAGATACCCTTCCGTTGTGACATTTGAGTGTGATAAGCCTGCACGAGTGGACAAACAACTGTGGTGTTATGCCATGGTCCCATGCACACTTCTAACGTTTCCAACGCTGCCCATCACTCGCGGCGTGCGTGCCCGCCTGACATTTCGGCGCCGGTCGACAGGTGCTGAACCACCGCGCGCAGTGCAGCTGCGCCGCCGGCTTCATCCCCAACCCGACGGCCAACGTGGCGTGCGTGCGCGAGCCGGTGCCGTGCAGCGTCAACTCGGAGTGCGGCTCGGGGGCCGTGTGCCAGGGCGGCCAGTGCCGGCCCATCTGCAGCGGCGACCGCGGCTGCCTCCCGAACGAGCGCTGCGACGACGGCCTCTGCATGCCCGGCTGCCGGCTGGACGACGACTGTGCCAGCGGCGAGATCTGCCGGCAGCTGGTGTGCGGTGCCGGCTGCCGCGCCGACACCGACTGCGCCGCCGGCCTCAGCTGCGTCAACAACAAGTGCATCGGTCAGTGGCCGCCGCTGGGAGGCGCAGACAGCCGGGGATGGTCACGGGGTCAGAGAGCTTGTGGTGGACCTTAGGAACGATGAGTTTGCTGCGTTTTTTATATCTTGCTTATTTGCTTCGAATTACTGCAGTTGTGGCTCACTCTATCCTTATGCGGTCTTGGCTGTCGTGTGCATTCCGATTGTCAAATTTCGTGAACTTCTTAGCTGTCGTGCAACTTTTATTTCAGTCATCACCCGGCGCTACCCTCGTCGGACCCTGATACGAGGTAACCGTACGCGACTAACACCCACCCGGCTGCACAGATCCGTGCGCCTCGCCCACTGCCTGCGGAACCAACGCGCTCTGCTCGGTGTTGAGCCACCGCGTGCAGTGCACGTGTCCGGCCGGCACCACCGGCGACGCCTACAGCAGCTGCCGCGCGCCTCCCACCGCCTGTGACGCCGACAGCGACTGCGACGACGGCTCCTGCTACGGCGGCGCCTGCGTCGCCAAGTGCTCCAGGTGAGACGCGGTGGGAGGCACGGCGGGTGGGTGGAGAGCGGCTGGCAGCTCGTGTGAGGGTGCTCTATTGGAGACGCGCTTGTGGCGGCGCGTTAGCCTGTTCCTCCGATGAAACGCTCATGGGCTCCGCACATTGTGCGGTCGGCGTGCGCGTGCATCTGTTTTTGACGTGGCAATCACGCAAAAACAGCCCATTCTGCACTAGTCTGACGCCAACGTCCTCGGCCGCAGCGACACGTCCTGCCTGAACGACGAGCGCTGCGTGGGCGGCATCTGCAAGACCATCTGCAGCTCCGATTCGCAGTGCCGCGACTCCCAGATCTGCCAGGGCCGCCTCTGCCTGTCCGGCTGCCGCACGGATGACCAGTGCGCCGCCGAGCAGGCGTGCATCAACCGCAAGTGCCGTGACCCGTGCCAGGGCACGGCCGCGTGCGGCACGTGCGCGCAGTGCGACGTGGCCAACCACCGCGCCCAGTGCACGTGCCCGGCCGACACGCGCGGCAACCCACAGGTGGCCTGCACGCCCGTGCCCAAGCGTTGCACCAGCAGCCAGCAGTGCGGGTGAGTGGAGGCGGGTCTGCTCTCGGGCCTAACGTAAATGAGTATTGTTTGACCTTTGTCAAAGCGGTATTTTTACAGGACGTGTCTCATCACGTTTTGTACCAAATAATCTCCCTGTTTGAACAAAAAAAGGTCTTGTTCGTCTGCATCATCCTCATTGCCTGGGCACGGCGCTGACTTACGCCACGTCTTCCCTCGGCACCCTGCAGCCCGTGGCCTGCTGACGGCCGCCTATTCTCCGTTGCAGCGGCGGCAAGTGCGAGTCGGGCCTGTGTCTGACGCAGTGCGCGGGGCCGTCCGACTGCGGCTGCGGCCACAGCTGCGCGGCGGGGGTGTGCCGGCAGCGCTGCGGCGCCGACGCCGGCTGTCCGGCCGGCGTGCTGTGTGCCGACGGCCTGTGCGTGGCCGGCTGCCGCTCCGCCGACGACTGCCCGGCCAGTCTGGCCTGCGCCGACGGCCAGTGCGTCGACCCGTGCGGCGCCGGCTCGCCGTGCGGCACCGGCGCCGAGTGCAAGGTCTCCAACCACCGCGCCGTCTGCCTCTGCCCGGACGGCTTCAACGGCAACCCAAGTCAGGCGTGCACCAAGGCTGGCTGCGCGCGCGACGCCGACTGTGTCGACCCGACCATGGCCTGCATCGACGCCCAGTGCGTCAACCCGTGCCTGCAGCCGGAGGCGTGCGGCGTCAACGCGCAGTGCAAGGCTGTGCGCCGGCGCGCCTTCTGCCTTTGCCCACCCGGCTACTACGGAGAACCCAAGGTCCAGTGTCGCAAAGGTATGTGGAGGGCGGATGTCAGACGCTAGAATCTAGTTACGAGGGACGAGAATGGTGGGTGGTAAACACGGATACATTTTTTTTTTGTCTTACAAATAAGGTCTTCTTGCCGTTGTGTAACCGGAGAGTCACTGCAGATGACAACATGCAGAGCAGGCATCAAGCTGCCGTTGTAACGATCCATTCTGAAGTAAAGTTTCTAAGTCAGCTAAAACAGGTGACCATGGATCACATCTGGCAACTCTTGCTATCCGTTCGCAGAGGCCAACGAGTGCGTGCGCAAGCCGTGCGGCGAGAACGCCTACTGCACCGACACGCAGGACTCGTTCACCTGCACGTGCGAGGAGGGCTGCGTGGGCGACCCGGTGCGCGGCTGCGTCTGCGTCGGCAACCAGTGCGACACGCTGCGCTGCGGTGTGAACGCCGAGTGTCGCGTCTCGTCGCAGGGCAGTGCCCAGTGCTACTGCCCGCCCGGCTTCCCCGTCGGAGACCCCAACGTCCGATGTGAGTGGGCCTGCCCGAGAGAACAGCCGCGCAACGGCGTGCTGACGGCACGCTCGCCGTTGCTTCTGCTGCGCGAGGTTCACGTTGACACGGTGGTGGTATGAGCAAGCAGTCCGTTGACGTGGTGATCACGCCCACTCCCGTGAGTCGTGGCAGCTGTCTTCATAGGCCAGGCCAGTCCCTGCTTATTCTGTGTCGCCCTCAGTGGGTTTGACCTCTGACAGTTGACCCCTGCTGACTCGTCGACCCGGCTCCACCAGGCTCGACCTCAGGCCGCGTCGACTGCCGCACCACTGGCTGTGGACCGAACGCCGAGTGCGCGCGCCAGGGCCTCGGCTACGCGTGCCGCTGCCGGAGGGGTCACACGGGCAACGCCGAGGCCGGCTGCAGCCGAGGTCAGTGCCCGCCCGGGCCTGCCGCGCGACGGTGGGCGGCGGGGGGGAGGACGGGGCAGGGGGAGGGGGCGTACAAGACGGGTCAGCACGGATCAGGAAGGGTGCGGCCGGTAGCGTATGATACGGGCTGACGGGATGGTGGTCTGTCACTGTTGGCTCAAAATGGCGACAGAGCTGGAGAGCAATTCGGGACGAGGTGTTATGCCATCAGCGTGAGCGGACAGACACCATGCCCTAAGTGGCTTTTCTGTAGATGGGATCGGCTGTTATTTATATATCAGCCGTCGATATCTAAACGCTGCTATCAGGCAACTTCCAATGAAAGAGAAGAATGACGGTATTTGTAAACACAAGGAGAAGACCGGATGCGCATCCCAAAATTCAACCCAGGCGGTCAAGCAAACAGGCTCGTTCGAAAACAAAAGAAATAAACAAAGTACACTCCCACTTCTTCACACACTGTTATTCGAAGGTTGGCTTGAATTTCGTCTTGAGTGTAATTGTTGGTCTTTCTTGCCCCTCAACCGCTGTCGAGTCGTAGTCGTTTAGTCGTGTGCATGCGACATTCCTTCCCTGACCGTGTGTGCTCTACTCGTGCGAAGCCAACGACGACGCGGCAGCGTCCTGTGTACAGTCCCTGCACGCCGGCCGGCGGCGGAGGAAGACGAGGTCCCTCCGCCCCGCCCCGCCCCTCGGCTCTGCATGATCCCCGCTTGTCCGCCCGCGCCCGCTCGACCGCCACCGCCGGCGAGGGACCTCGACTCGCCGCCGCCGCCGGCCGCCGTCGGCCGCATGCGTCTAACCGCGCGCCCTCTCCGCCTCGGACCAGAATCTGCATGCACCCGAGACTCAGACTGTGGCACTTCGGCGGCGTGCAGCGCCGGCGAGTGCGTCGACCCGTGCGCCGTGCGCGGCGTCTGCGGCCAGAACGCTCTCTGCCAGGTGGTCTTCAGCAAGGCGCGCTGCTCCTGTCCGCAATGCTACGTCGGCCAGCCGTCGGTGCTGTGCCGGCCGGACCCGGCGTGCGGCCGCGTGCCGGACCGGCCGGTCGGGCCGCGCACCCGCTGCGACCAGGACGCCGACTGCGCCGACAGCCTGACCTGCCGCGCCGGCGAGTGCGTCGACCCCTGCTTCGGCTACACGCTCTGTCCCGAGGAGAAGAAGTGCATGGCACGCGAACACATCGCCACGTGCGTCTGCAAGTACGGCTTCGTCGTCAACGAGAAGTTTGAGTTCGTGTGCGCCGGGCCGCGCGTGGAGTGTCGCGCCGACGACGACTGCGCCTCCAACCTGGGCTGCATCTCGGGCAAGTGCCAGAACCCCTGCCTGCTGCAGAACCCCTGCCCGACCAACAAGCGCTGCGACGCCGTCAACCACCAGCCCATCTGCGTGTGCACCAAGGAGTGCGAGCCGTCCATTTCGCTGTGCCTGAACGACCGTGGCTGCTCGGACAACCTGGCCTGCGTCAGCTACCAGTGCGTGGACCCGTGCCAGGGCTTCAGCTGCCCGCAGGACCGCCCTTGCTACGTGGAGGACCACAAGCCCATCTGCAAGTTCTGTCCGGCTGGCTTCAGCGTCGACCCCATCTACGGCTGTATGAAAGGTAACGCTGCACGCAGGCTGGCCGGCCGTGGCGCGCGCTAACTCGGCAGCCGCCGCCACTAACGTCCTCCGTCGGGGAGACGCGTCACACCTGCCCTGCTTGTGAATGGCAGCGGCGTCCTGCGGCGTCCCCCGCGGCGATGCGGGCCGTAGTGGACGCCGCACCCTGAGCGGACACCATTCAGCAACGCTTCTCTCTCAGTGTTGCACCATGCAACGGTGGTCTCATTGCCCCCGCTTCGATGCAGAGACGTCCAGCGCGTGGATGGTGTCCCCTCACCGCTTCACAACTGCTTATGCGCTTCCCCTAAAGCTTTGTAGCGGTAGAGTACAATAAACATCCACTCCAGCGGGTAGAGGACTCCGTCGTCGACCGTCTTCCGTCGGAGCTATACATGCGGCGTCCGGCCGCCTCGTGCCACTCTCTGGACGGCCTGGGCGGCCATCCTGACGCAGACGAGACAGTCTCTCACCCACTCAGACTGGCTAATACAAACTGTATACAGTACGCTACTGATAACGCTTTACAAATACCGTGTCTGTTTGCATCTTGCCGCATGTGGTGGTGGTGGTTTCATGCATGGCATGCGCCCTTTGACGTGCATGTCTGTTGCTTGCGATGTTGCATGCCCGTCCATCTTTTCCTTGAGTAGTCCGAATCCCCCAGCTGGTTACACCACATATCCACGTGTAACAAAAGCCAACAAATAAACAATTACCAACGACGCAGTTAACTAGAGAGCAGAACGCTTGCTAATAAATCGCACTCATCCGTGTCATGCTTCACTGTTGCATTTGTCGCCCGAGTGCTACAGGGCACAGCCACTCATCAACGATAATCACCCCGTCAGAGGCCGCAGCGAGTCACTAATCACTTAACTCGCTTACTGGTGCAACCGAGCGACACGTTTGCCTGCGTAGCTGCGTCGATTGCGCGGAACTGTGAGACCCCGGTGAATGTCCGACCTTGGAATGCGACCTTAACGTAGCCCGTGCGTGACGGGGCCGTGCGGCGCGCTCGGCCGTGGTGTCGTCACCGCCTCCGCGCGTGACGTCACTGGCCGCCGTTCGCAGTGATTGGCTGTCGGGAGAACGACAACTGTCCGTCAAACCAGGCTTGTATCAACGGCGAGTGCAAGAACCCTTGCCTGCTGGTCGACCCGTGCGATGCGCCCGAAGTGTGTCGTGTGGAGGACCACAACAGCGTCTGCGTGGATGGTACGTCAGGAGAGACAGGGTGGCAGCGGGCATCTGACACGGCGGAGGAGAACGGCGCGGAGGTAGCAGACATTTCAAGGGCACTCACATGATGACGTTGGATTCGGATGCAGGACTACTTCCAGCACACCTTTTTAAGGGACATCATGGGGCGATAGGGGCAGCATCCTTTCCAGTCAGTTGCCGACTTGAAGGGTTATTTTACGTTTTATCCATCTCATACCTAAACAATCCAGCGTACTGTCCTTCAACAGCATTGGCGAAATAAGCCCCTAGTTTTAACAATAGTTGTGTGTGAAGTCACTCAGCGCATGGACTGATGCTTCTGGACGTCATTTGGGGACACAGCGTGATTTGCGCCAGTCTTTTTCTTAAAAGAACGAGAGTGGCCACATGGGGGGATCAAAACGCTGGGTGGGGCACATCCACCTGGCCTCAAGCATCTCAGACATTCCACCACGTCGGGGAGTAAACCCCGACTTCGCTCCCGCAGACTGCGGCTGCAGCTCCAATGCTGATTGCGACATCGGCGAACAGTGCGACGGCTGCGAATGCCAGAAGAGCAGAGGTAAGTGGCGCTCGACGGCATCAACATGTGCCCCCTTTTGGTGCCTTGCTAGGGCTTAGCAGGACAGAGTCAAAAGTGCGTGCTGTTTTCCCTGGCTAGCGCTTCCCTCGTCCAGCTGAAATCCATAAACTTCTGCCTTCGCACCTCCCGTGTTGCTTGCGTTGCCGATATTCCGGCTGTTGTCAGCCGTTGATTTGCGTTCCGTGGCCTGGAACGTGCCTGTGACGCCGTCGCCCGGCCGCCAGTTCCCAACATCGGCTGTGTGCCGGGCAGCTGCGACGACGACGACGTGTGCGACGAGGAGACGGGCGAGTGCGTCGACTCAGGTAGGTCCCCGCGCCGCCGGCCGGGCGTACTCCCGTCTGAATGAGCCGCGTGAGAGTCGCTAAACGACGCCTGAGTAACCCGGCGCTAACTGCCCGTGCCCGCCGCCCGTCTAAACCCACTGCATCGGCACGGTTTGAAGCGCACCCGGCGGTCACGCCGTGCATCGCAGCTGTAGCGGATGATGCATTTTGGCCGGCGGCGCTCGGTCGTGGCATGTTGTTAACGCCTCCCGCAGCCTGCCCGCCCATTAACCCGCCTCAGACCCGCCCTGGCCCTCACCCGCCCGCCCAGGGCCGCCCCACCGCCGCCCGACCGGCGGCTAAGCCGACCGCAGCATCGCTAAATGGACCGCAGCATCGAACGCCGCCAGTGGAGGGCATCTGGATCCAGGCTTACGTGCTTCCTACGCTGTCCGCTTTCTTTCTAAACCCCTTCTCCAGAGCAGTTTCTTGGGTCTCGTATCTAAAACTAGCTAGAGAGCCCCTTGGGTCTGTTGTATAGACTTTGCTTGCTGCAGAGAATGAGAAAAGTGCGCTTGGCTGCAGATGGTGTGCAGTAATTGAGCAGGAATCACCACAGGCATGATATGCGTTTGGAATGACTATTAAGTCATCGGTGCTGGGCTGGATCTGCATGTTGAGGTGCATGAAGCTTGGCCACTCACAAGATAAAGACGGATGCGTGCGGAGTATGTGTTGGTGTGGTACCGGGAGGTTTGCTACGTGTTCGCTTCCACATGTATCTTTTACAGACGAGTGGCGGCCGCTTCATGTCCGGCGGTCGCTGCCACGCCGTGTGTAGCCGTTCTAGTTCCGCGTCCTGTCGTCTCTCGATGTTGTCCATTCGGGTTAGAACCAACGCGACACACACGCTCACCTCTTCGAAGACACTCGGGCTAGGCGAGGTAGCTCGCACTGCACGCGTCTCTTTCTCTCTGTCCTCTCTCGGCGTCCGGCCCGGCCGCGAGTCGGACCGAGCGGCGCGCTCGGCCGTCGCTGACCGCGCGCTGTGTCCAGTGCCGGGGCGGCCGGCCACCGTCCGACCGCCGGCCTCGGGCTCGCCGTGCCGCTCCAACGGCGACTGTCCGCCCTCCGAGACGTGTCTGGAGGCGCGCTGCTCCGACCCGTGCCGCTGCGGCGCCGGCGCGCTCTGCTCCGTCCTCCAGCACCGGCCCGTCTGCCGCTGCCCCGAGGCGCACGTCGGCGATCCGGCCGTGCTCTGCACGCCCGCCGGTACGTGCGCGGGCGCGCCGTACGTCCGCGAGCGTGGGGTTTCGACGATCGAACGTGCCAGCCGAGAGCTGCGTGCTAACGTAACATCGCTAATGCCCCAACCTCGTGCAGCGTTACTACTCACTAGCACTCGCTCCCCGGGAGTTTGACAGGCACCGGGGCTGTCATTTGGTTCAGTGGCGTAACACCGTTCACTGTGAGTAACCTTCACGTCTGGGAGCAACATTAACATCACAAGTACTCACTGTGCCACACGCGCGATGCCCGTGTTGTCGAAGTGCTTCGCAGCTCACAGCTCACATCATTGTCTAACTGTCATGAGGGTGATGCAACATTGTCGGATCCGCCGCACATAAGAGCAGTGGCAGCAGTAGCTGGTGCCTGTGCGACGGACCAACAATGCTGCACAGCCTGGTCGTGGCCAATCCGGCGCGCTAACACTGTGTTTTTGTCCCTAACAAGGCGGCACCACACCGCCGACGGGCGTGGCCACGCTCCGTCCCCGGCCCGGCCTTCCCTCGACTTCCACCGACCGATCCGGGGGTCAGTCTGACCGGTACCTACCCTCCCGACGTGACCGGCACCACGCCCGGCGAACCCTCCGACCCCGCCAGTCCCGGCCAGGTTACGGGGAAGCCAAGCGAACCCACCGGACCTGGGGGTGACGATGCCCCTTACAAACCCGGGCAGACCACGGGAAGACCGAGTAGACCCACTGGTCCTGATGGCGTTGATGAGCCATACAAACCCGGGCAGACCACGGGAAGACCGAGTAGACCCACTGGTCCTGATGGCGTTGATGAGCCATACAAACCCGGGCAGACCACGGGAAGACCGGGTAGACCCACTGGTCCTGGTGGTATTGATGAGCCATACAAACCCGGACAGACCACGGGAAGACCGGGTAAACCCACTGGTCCTGGTGGTGTTGATGAGCCATACAAACCCGGGCAGACCACGAGAAGACCGAGTAGACCCACTGGTCCTGATGGCGTTGATGAGCCATACAAACCCGGGCAGACCACGGGTAGACCGGGTGGACCCACTGGTCCTGGTGGTGTTGATGAGCCATACAAACCCGGGCAGACCACGGGAAGACCGAGTAGACCCACTGGTCCTGATGGCGTTGATAAGCCATACAAACCCGGGCAGACCACGGGAAGACCGGGTAGACCCGCTGATCCTGATGGCGTTGATAAGCCCTACAAACCCGGGCAGACCACGGGAAGACCGGGTAGACCCACTGGTCCTGATGGTATAGATGAGCCCTACAAACCCGGGCAGACCACGGGAAGACCGGGTAGACCCACTGGTCCTGATGGTGTTTATGAGCCATACAAACCCGGGCAGACCACGGGTAGACCGGGTAGACCCACTGGTCCTGATGGTATTGATGAACCTTACAGACCAGGACAGACCACTGGCCGGCCCGGTAGACCTTCTGGTCCTGATGTTGTTGATGAGCCTTACAAACCAGGGCAGGCCACTGACAGACCCGGTAGACCTACTGGTCCTGATGGTGTTGATGAGCCTTACAAACCCGGGCAGACCACAGGCAGACCAGGCAGACCCACTGGTCCTGATAGCATAAGTGGACCACTCAGACCCGGCCAGACCACAGGCAGACCGGGTAGACCCACTGGGTCTGATGGGATAGATGAACCATACAGACCCGGACAGAGCACAGGAAGACCAGGTAGACCCACTGGATCTGATGGGACAGATAAACCATACAGGCCTGGACAGACCACAGGCAGGCCGGGTTCACCTGGCGGTAGACCTCCGACCCGGCCGGGTGACCCCACGCGTCTGACAGAGCCCACCACCCCTCCCACCCCGACATCCGGCCCGAGCCCGCCGGCCAGCTCGCGCTCACCGTGCTCAGCCAATCCTGACTGTCCGTCGACGGAGGCCTGCCGGGACGGGGTGTGCGTCAGCCCGTGCCGTTGCGGCGCCGGCGCTCGCTGCGTGGTCACCTTCCACCGCGCCCTCTGCCGCTGCCCACCCGGATACGCCGGCGACTCCTATGTCGAGTGCCTGCCCCGGGGTACGTGCTAACTGCCCGGCTAACTCGGCCCCTCTGGATGTACAGCTGTACAGTGTACATACCGTTGTACGGTGCGCAACGCTTTGTCTAACGCGCTGGTGTGAGGGTAGCACAGTGTGCAGGATGGTGTGCAACACTGGTCTATTAACGTTTATGATGTTTTTTCCTTAACATCTGTCGTGTACACGTTGACACCGTAACTCATCCCGTAATCACTGCATAACCCCGCAATCGCTGTGTGTTTAATCAACGTGTCTTTTGGGTCGTAGTGAACGGGCGGCGGTGAGCTGAGTTGGTCCCACTCATCGTTTGCTACGTAAAACAAAATTCATAGTCTCCATTTTTTCACGAAAATATATTATAGCTGATCAAATTATCAGCAATTATTGAGCGTCAATAATTCTTGAAGCCTATTTCACAACGTTAAACGTAGCGTACAGCCACAGACCGAGCGAGTGACACCCGGCCGCCCGGTCTGAGGCGCCATCTGAGGGGACCCGCCAGCCTCCTGGCCCGTTCACTGCGCCCGGCACCGCCCCCACCGCCGCCACTGACCACTAACGGCCGGCAGGCTCACCGGCTCTAACCAGGCCGCCGCCCGGCGGGGCCGGCACGCCCCCGCCGAGGCCGGTGGTGACCCAGCGGCCGGGCGCCGGTGTCGCGTGTCGTCGCCACGACGACTGCGGCGCCGCCGAGGCGTGCGTGGCCGCGCGCTGCGTCGACCCGTGCCGCTGCGGTCCGGGCGCCGTCTGCCGCGTGCTTCAGCACCGGCCGCTCTGCCTCTGCCCGCCGGGCACGACCGGCGAGCCCAGCGTCGAGTGTCGCACCCCCGCCGGCGGCGCCGGTACGTACCGCGTCGCGCCGGCGTGCGCTTCGCCGGCGGCCCTCTGCGGTCGCCGCTCGCTCGCTCGACCGTGTTCGTTCCGGGTGGTTGTCGTCGGCTCGCCGTTTCGTCTCGCGTCGGTCAGAGTCTGACCTCGCACTCAGCACCGTCACTGTGTATTTCAGGCGCGGCTGCACCGACGGCGGAGGCGCCGCCCGTCTCGGTCACAGTTCTGTCTGGTCCCACCTCCCCCGCGACCCCGGCACAGTCACCGCCTAACCAGGTCACGGCCCTCACCGACTCTGCCGCCACCCCCGCCACTCCCCTGGGCCCCGGCTCGCAGGTCACGACGCCCTCCACGGTCCGGCGGCCCGACTCCGCGGAAGGGGGTGCCACGGAAGCCGCGCCGACCGCGCCCGCCACCACCGATACCGCGGTGGAGACGAGCAGCGAGGGTGACTCCTTCACCGACCTGCTGAATTTCGAGGAGCTGAAAGCCAAGCTGACCACGCAGACGCCGCAGCTGCTGCCTGAAGATGACGTCACAGATGACGGGTATCCGGAGAACAGAAATCCTCCCGCGGACGTCGATATCACACCCACGCCAGGTCCATCTGGGAGCGGGCCGACTGTCGGAGCAGGACACGACGCCTCCTCCGAAGATGCTACGGTCAAAGCGGGCGACTTTTCGACCCCACCGTCCGCAAACGTTCCATCAGAAGAGAGACCGGGGAGCGAAGCTGCATACATTGAGCAGGGCACGGCGACTCTGCCGGCGGACGGGAGCGGTCCACTGGTGTCCAATAGCTCGGAAACGACGCCGCAGGACGTCATCGTCTACGGTTCCAGTGTCACGCCACCGACGCAAGCTCCGCCGATGGCGGGTGACCCGCTCGA